CATTAGTAGCCTTTCTAGTGTCAAAACTTCTCTCATCTGAGTGGCATCATAGATAGCCATCCTGCATTTCCCATTCTAAAACATTTGTTTCGCATTCAGTTAGAATGTCTTCCTCTCAAATCTCTGATTTTTTTGTGTAATGCATTGTCACTGCAATAAAGCCATAAATTACCTTTCTCTACATCTACTGTTATCTCCTCTCAACCACTTGAATTATTTTTCTCGGATGTGTGGACTTCCCTGTTATCTCCCATGATGGTTTTAAATATTATGTCATATTTGTTGTTACTTCACTAATACTTTGGTTTTATCCCTCACGAAATCTGAAGTTAAAGACGTGTTTATCAAAGTTTAAGCCATTGTGGAAACACACTTTCAAAATAAAATTCATACACTTTACCTCCGATAATGGTGGTGAATACTTGGCTCTTAACCTTTTCTTGCACCAATGGATCATCACCTTACTACTCCACCACACCACTCCTGAACACATGGGTACTCTGAAGACGTCATCGTCACATTGTCGAACAGGTCTCACTCTCCTCTCTCATGCATCACTTCCTTCAACGTTTTGGACTCATGCCTTTGCCGCTGCTGTTTACCTAATAAATCGTATTGCCCACTCCCACACTAAATCTATCATCTCCGTAGGAAACATTTTTGGCTCTCCCCCAAACTCTCTAAACTTAGATTTTTGGTTTTTGTACTACCATGGTTACGTCCTCATTCACTCACAAAACTTGAGTCTCGTTCGAAGCCTGTATTTTTCTAGGCATTCTTCTACTCAGTGCTTATCTGTGCTATCATCCTCCCACATCTAGAATTTATGCTCTGTCATGTCAAATTTGTTGAGTCTGTATCTCCCCTCTCTACTTTATCCATGCAATTTGTCCGTCCACTACCTGACACCGTCTCCACGTGATTCCCATCATCACAGTTCTAAACCAACCAGCTTCCACCGGGACATTCAACCACACCATCTACAGTTTCAACCTCAAGGACAGCCCTCATGTGATGCTTTGCTCCCTCCTACCCGCACAACCCCACACATACCACATGATCTCCTATCCAACCAACCACCTCTATGCTTTCATCCGACACCCTCACCAAACACATTATCCTGGCATAACACACTTCACGACCACCACCCATACATTCAATGACAACTAGAGCCAAAAACACATTTGAAAGCCAATCGAGAAGCTAATCCTCTCCACACAACTCTTCACCCTTGTGATGTAGAACCAACCACTATGACCCAAGCCTCAAAGATCCAAAATGGCTCAGGCCATGTTGAGAATAGATGCTCTTGTTCAAAATGGGACATGGTAGCTGTCCCATCAGATTCTAGTCACAATAAGTTGTGATGTAAGTGATTTTTCAACTAAACATCCCTTGGATGGTTCTATGACAGGCACAAAGCACGCTTGGTTGCGAAGGCTTTCATCAAACGCCCAGGAATTGACTACCTGACACTTTTAGTCCTGTGGTGAAGCCTACTACAGTCCGTTTAGTTTCTTAGCCTTGCTGTGAGTCGTGGTTGGTCTCTACGACAACTGGATGTAACAATGCCTTTTTGCAAGGTCATCTCTCTGCGATGTTTATATATCCCCACTCTAAGCTTTGTGATTTAGATAATCCAACTCATGTTTGCAAGCTTGGGAAAGCAATTTTGCTTAAAACAAGCTCCCGCGCATGGTACCATGAGCTTGCAAATTTCTTGTTGTTCGCGGGTTTCACAATTCTCATGCCGATAAATCTCTTTTTGTTCTAAACACTAGTGGGTAACCTCTCTATCTTCTGGTTTATGTGGATACATTATTCTTACCGGTAATGATGATGCTATGGTTCACAAGTTTATGCAACTGCTTTCTCACCAATTTTCTCTAAAGATCTGGGACCACTTATCAATTTTTCTTGGTGGGAAGTTATTCCAATAATCATGGTATCTGCTCTCTCAAAAACGTTACATTGTTGATCTTCTTACTCGTACAAAAATGATGATGCTAAACTATTACATACTCCATTACCTACCAGTCCTCCAATTACATTGCACTCAGTTCTCCTCTCAAGGATCCCACAGAGTATAGACAATTGTTGGCAGCTTACAATACTTACTGATCACACGCCAGACATTGCCTTTGCTGTTAACAAGCTTCTCAATACATGCATCAGCCAACCTCAAAACTTGGATTCTTGTGAAACGTCTCCTGCGTTATCTGTGTGGTTCCTCTAGTGATGGCATTCAACTTTACCATGATTCACCACTCTCTTACATGCCTTTGCTATGCAGACCCGCTCTCTCTACATGCCTTTTCCGATTCTGACTGGTGGCAACAGGATGATTTCACATCTACTAGTGCCTATGTTGTTTATATTGGTCGTAATTCTATCTCATGGAGCTCCAAGAAGCAGAACTTTGCTAGATCCTCTACGAGGTGAATATGGTCAGTAGCTACCACAGCTGCAGCTTAATTGATAAGTTCTCTCTTGACAGAACTTGGTGTTGTTCATCTTCAATCACCTGTGATTTATTGCGACAATATCGGGGCAACCAGCTTGTGTTCAAATCCAGTTTTCCACCTCAGGATAAACATGTTGCCATTGATTTTCATTTTATTCGTGAGCAAGTTCACAATGGCACCTTACTGTTTCTCATGTTCAAGTGATATCAGCTTGCTGATGCCCTTACAAACCTCTTCCCAGGTCTCGGTTTCTTTCACTTAAATCCAAGATTGGTCTCGTCACACGACCCCAATCTTGAGGGGGCATATTAGAAGTCTTCCGCTTCCTCTCATAATTGTTACTGTTGTTTAATTTTTGAATTTGTATTTTAAGTTGCAGATGTACACTTATCTTAGTGATAAGTTTTCAATCTGTTACAATCTTGAATTTGTATTTTAAGTTACGATGTACACTTATCTTCAGTGATAAGTTCCAATCTGTTACAATCTTGTGTATTTATATATTTGCTACCTTAATGAGAAGCCGTGTGCATATTCTCTCCTTTGTTCCTTTGTTTCTTCTCATTTATTATATAAGCTGCCCTCCATACATCAAGCATTCAACTTCCTTCTGAATGTAATCAATTGAGCCAATCTGGAGTCCATTTCATTCATCATTTTCTTTTATAGTAATGGTCGCCCCTCACTCTCCTATCAATAAATTAAATAGGTAGTTTACGAATAAATTTTTACCTAACTTGTGCACAAAGAGTAGTATAATTTGAAAGTATCAACCAAATATTTTTTTTCTTAATATTCAATTTAATATCTTATGTTCAACAAACAAATAATTGTGTAAGTATCTCAAATTGAAGGCATTAGTCGAGGGGATTCGATACCCAAATTTGCCTATAACTGTGTCGAGTTCCTATGTTAAACTGACGTCGGGCCTGCCACCAAGTTGGACTGAAATTTCCCACCCGTTTATGATATTGATGAGACATACAATATGTGTATTTATATATTTGCTACCTTAATGAGAAGCCGTGTGGCATATTTCCTCTCCTCTGTTCCTTTGTTTCTCTCATTTATTATATGGTACTAGAGCATTTAATTGCTGCTGTTCTATTCTCCAGCCACTAGTACCATGACAACAACCGAAAATTCCAACTCTCCACCCGTTATTCAAAACACAAATGAACTAAACACATCTCTCATCTCCATCAATGTCGCTGCCCAAGCCCCACTCAAACTCACCACAACCAATTACATTTCCTGGAAACTTCAATTCCACATTCTCTTTGTCGGCTATGACCTCTTAGGATATATAGATGGATCCAAACCTTGTCCACCCTCCACTATCACTCAAAACGACACCACTGTATCAAATCCTACTCGCACTACTTGGATTAGACAAGACCAACTGATTCTTAATGCTTTAGTTGGATCTCTTTCTCCCACACTTATCCCATTCATTGCTAAAGCCGAAACATCAGCAGAAGCTTGGTTGATCCTAGCAAACACATATGCCAAGCCATCTCGAGGGCGCATCAAGCAGGTAAAGAATCATATTAAAATTCTAACCAAGGGGTCTCAAACTGTTACAGAGTTTCTTCAATTGGTGAAGTGTCGGGCTGATGAACTTGCTATTCTTAGGGCACCAATGGATGAAGATGACCTCACAGACAGAATTCTTGATGGTCTTGGGGATGACTATAAAGAGCTTATATTTGCAGTTCAAGCCCGCGATACCATGATCACGTTTGATGAGCTCCACGAAAAGCTTCTAAATTTTGAAGCGTCTCTTCAAGGTACAAAATCTAAACCCTCTCATTTCCCAGCCTCAGCAAATCCTGCAAATCGTAACACTACAGGTTGGCGTCCCTCTTTCAACTATGGTAACACCAACAACAATTGGCGTCCATCAACACACTCTGGTAACAACAGTACAGGTTGGCGTCCTTCACCCAATACCAACAATCACTCCCCCGCGTTTCCTAACGCTGGACAAAACTCGTCTCGCAGCCAACGACCTCCCTCTCAACCTTATCTTGGTTATTGCCAGATATGTGGACTACAGGGGCACACTGCCAAGAGATGTCCCTCTTTTCGCTTGGTGCCAAATCAACCCAATACAACTCCTGTTGCATCAGTGAACAACACTACGACACCATGGCAACCTCGAGCTCATTTTGTAGCCAACACTACTCCTACCACTCCGCAATGGCTACTGGACAGTGGTGCTTCTCATCATGTCACTGCTGACCTGAGCAATCTCTCTCTCCACACACCTTACAATGGTTCAGATGACATTATGATTGGCGATGGATCGAGTCTTCCTATAACTCACACTNCAACCCGCCGGGTTGCGGGCCTCTTTGAAAGAGGCCAAAATAGCAACCCGGCGGGCCGCGGGTTACCTTAGTGTAACCCGGCCCGCCCGGGGGTGGCTGGCGGGTTGGGCTCAACCCGGCCCGCCATGAAGGCGGGCCGGTTTGAGCCCTCTTTTTTGCGGGCCGGGTTAGGGTTGGCCCGCCTAACCCGGCCCATATGTTCCACCTCTATCTCTGTCCTAGCTCAACAAGAACTTCATCAGTGTAGGGCCTCAGCCATTGTACTGGCCCAACTCGACTCTACAAAAGAAAAGAAGGGGAAAGAAATGAAAATTCCAACAATTTAACCAACCAAACATTATAGTGCCCAACCTAATGATAAGGGGTAAACAAAAATCGGTGATGGAGAAAGTTGGTAGACAGCAGCTCCAGACAGTCCTCATAATTAAGGGAAGACAAGAAAGATGGAAGTTAAAATTTATGAAATTGGGTTTCACAGTCAAACCTGGTATGCTAGAGTACGATCATTGCCAACTCCTCTGTTCTTCAGGTTCTGCATGATTAGGTAGATGCACTCCCCCGTCTGATCTTTGCACTGGCATTCTCAACATAACTGACTGGTATCCCGTGGGCACTGAAGAATATCATTACCTGCAGCTCCACATATAGGAGTCAAAGACAAGTTGTAGAGAGCTAATCTCGTCAAATGAACATAACCCAGGCAAGTCAAATTTTAATATATATACTGATTTTATGCTTCAAAAGAACCATATAGAAGAAGAGACTCTAATTAAATGCACCTCCTCAGGGTTTGAGAATTTCTCCAACTCTTTCTGAATCAAGTCAGCCATAGACTTAGTGTAACCTTCTTGTTGATACCAGCACCGTATGATGGAAACAGGCATCCTTTATAGATATGCATCTTCCCTGACATATTATTCTCATTCAAAAATGTTTATGATATACAAAATTGATTTACTACAGACAAGAAATTAGAGAATATACTGAAAAGAGAAAAAAAAGCAGCACCTAAATATTCTCTCGAGAACACGGATGCTTGACCCAGTTGTAGAGATAGAGAACTGTGGATAAAACGGCAACACAACGAGCCTTGTAATTCTGTCTCTCTTAATCTGTCAACAAGACCACATTTAACAAAAGAAAAGGAAAAGACCTCATAGACCCCATGGCAGTTCAACGTGAGCCAAAAAGTATCCCATGTTACTAAAGTGAAAAATTTAAAACCTACCTGCTGCCCTGCCTCTTCTGTGAACGCGTACCAGTACCTCATTCCAACATAGACATTGACAGGTAAGTTCTTTGCTTCCAGAGCCATTTTAAGTGCATGTGCCTGCTACAAGTTTTTCAAAATACAAGTACACAATATTACAGAAAAAAATGAGGGACAAAAAAAGAAAAACAGAGCACAGATTTTCTAATAAAAAATTTAGAAAAAGTAGAAGAAGAAATCCCAAAACAATTAAAGAATTTTATCAAAAAACAAATTTACTTGAAAGCTTCTTCTAGAGAAGCACTCCCAAACACACTCCAACCACATTCAATATAAGCAATCCACTTGTTAACAGCAATATCATTTTTGTTGCTTGATTTTCAGAACCAGATCATCATGATCTGCCAATGAAAAAAGTTGCAAAAGCACAACAGAAAAATAAATGCAAAGAAAATACAAATGGTGACACTCAATTAAACTATTCATAAGAAAGATTGAGTGGTGACTTTTTTATCCACAAAATAAAAGAACAGATTTCAAATTCGAATGAGAATGCTTTGAATAATGCATAATATACTACCTATTAAGAGCATCCTGATTCCATAACAGCTCATCCTCTTCAATTTCATCATCGTGCAACTTAGTCATCCTGCAAAATCATTCATTTTAGGCTTTCCAATTCCCACTCAACTATTACATCAATACAATCATAGCTTGTGAATTTTACTACTACATAGTACTGGCACAGCTTTCATCACATGTAACATCACATACATTACAAAATCCGGGACATGATTGACAATGTTAAATGTTTAAACTACGCGTAAATGTTACAAATTAAAAGTGATATAAGACTATTTGTTCGAAGAAATGAAACTGTACCTTCATTTAGATTATCAGATTTTATTTCTTAACACATAGTAATAACTTCATTACAAGTCCAACAACTACCACAAAAATGAAACAATTCATTCGGTAACGCTACCACTGTATCCTCAATCTGCACGTAAAGAATGCTAACTGCACCAATTTCTAATCTTTAAAAAAAAAAAAAAATTAATGAAAAATCATGGTCCTGGCATTATTTTCTCCCGGTAACTTTACCACTAGCAATGTAGGGGAAGCCACTGCCCAAACTGTCTCATTCCAGTACAGTAACTTATCTTTTAAAAAATAAAATTTCCAACCCTCCGATTCCGGTAACACTACCGTTACAGCGTCGTAGCTTCGCATTAACATAACATAAACAGCGAAGAAGAAATGATATGAAACTTACCTTTTTCCTCTTGTTGCTCGAGAGGCGCGGTCGAGAAAAGCGACAGGAGCATCTTCTTTGTTAGAGGTTTCTTCCACTGCCTCCGCTGCGGCTTCTACAGAAATTCTTTTTCAGTTCTTTCGGGAAATAACTATTAAGCGCCTCCATTGTCCCTAGCAGATGAAAATTTCTAGGTGTTCTAGTCGAATCTTCAACGAATGACGGCGGAAACTGAGGAATCGTAGATCAAATGAGGAAGAAGAAAGATCGAGAAAGGAGAGCGAGAGGGAAAAGGGAAGCTGTTTGGTTACTGAGAAACAGTGGAGTTCTTGTAAGGGGTTTGTTCGGGAAAATACTAAAGACCCCGTAGTCTAACTAATTTCATATTCACCCTTTAGGTTTTAAAGATACTATAAGTTTGTCGCTACCCCTATGTTTTGTTAACTAAGCACAAAAAATTAAAACATGATGAATACCTTAAACGTCTCCATTTATTCCTTGCCATCCTGCCTGCAAAACTAATCAGATATTTAGAAATGAGTTATTCGCTCTTCAACCTGCAAAATTAATCAGATTAATCAATGTACTCTTAAGTATTTATAGAAGTTTAAAAAATGCTAAAAAATCTGCTTGTGTTACGTACCCGTCGGGATTTCAGTATCCAAATTCGCCTATAATTGCGTTGAGCTCCTATGCTAACTGACCGTTGGCCTGTCACCTTGCCAGACTAAAATTCCCCACCTATTTATGATATTGATGAGAAATAAATAATAAAATTTGCAATCAGAAGATTAAATAATCTAGTATTAGACCAAAAAGTATAAAGTTGGTATGTATATACCTTTCAAGAAAATCCCGTTTCCTTTTCAGCTTGTCTACTTTTTCCGAATTTCAAGAAAATCCCGTTTCCTTTTCAGCTTGTCTACTTTTTCCGAACAATGGATTGGATCTCTTCGTTCTACCATTCCATGCTTTGTATTTCCCCTGAATTTTCTGTTACAATTTTCAGACATGAATCTAAACACACTGTACAAAACGATCATCAATCAAACAACTAAAAAAGGAAAAAGCATTTTTTTTTACATCCAAATAATTTTCAAAGAGTATGCACATAGGAGAATATAAACAAATGAAAATTTTATCAGAGAGAAGATTTGCTGATACAATTGACTGTACAAAAAATGCTAACATCTACTGAAATGCTAATTATATATGAATGGTTTTTGATTCCAACACCTTTAGTTTTGATAACATAAAATATTCACTAAGACAACTCAACAACTCATCCTCAATAATCTCTGTTTACAAATCATGCATTAATATTTAAACCATCAAATAAAAAAATAGAACAATAAGACATTAGTGTTAATTTATACCATCGTAATTAACAAAATAATAAGCACAAACAATTATTATTTTTTAAACAAAAAGAGACAATTACCTTTTTTTATTATTATTATTATAAGTTCTTTTTTTATTTTTTTATTTTTATTATGAGACAAAATAGAAGTATTGTTTTTAAGAATTCAACCTAATGTTAATTTAGATTTCAAAACAAAGGAAAATTTGAAGATGCAATTACAACTATAAAATCTTAAATTATATTTATATTCTACTTGAAAATTCATATTAGTTAGAAAAGTTATTGAATTACTCAAACATGATTCATACCTTCTACATTGTTGACTAACTGTTGCCTTCTTTCCTCCTCTTGCCTTCTTTCCTCCTGCAAAACAAATCAGAGTTTTGGATAATTTATGTATCTGAGTCTGAGCAACTAAACATGATTTAACTTATTAAGTATTTCTACAACTAAAACATAATTTAAGAAGACTATCTATTATGATACCAAATCATTTTCAAACATTAAAACGCAATTTCAAGTTTTGAATGGCAATTCAGATTTACATACTCTAGAAGCATATTTTTCTTTAATTTAACTTATATTCAGAATTAATCAAAAAAAAAAAATGTTTTAACTATTAAGTATTTCTACAGCTAAACATAATTTAAGAAGACATTATGTATTTTGTATTATGATGCGCAATTTTTCTGATCAATGCTATGTTTCCAAATTATGCATTAATCATCTACTAATAAAAGAAAAAATATATATATTTTGCATTTAAAGTTTCATTTTTTTCAAATGGTAAAAATATTTTCAATTGTTAAGTATGAACAATTAATCAATTCACATACCTCTTCTTTGAACAATTGTTGCACTGTGGAGTTAAGGTTACCCATCCATCGTGCTTCATAATTTGCCCTAACTTTGTTGAGTTTTGGTGTCAGTTGTTCTTCATAACCAAAGATCTTCATATTTGGACATCTATATATCTCCAGTGTCTCCAAAACTGAGAATTCAATGGAATACGGGCCTGAGCTAAAACAAGCAATATTAGCTAGCCTTCCAAGCAACAAGGAGGACAAACTAGGAAACACAATCCTCTGTACTGCTGATGCTTCCTCATTTGTGATTATTTCATGTAGTGTTGAGCATCCATCTATTTCAAGACTTCTAAGCTTCACCAAGCTTTTGACTATGGACGGGTTGAAGAGGTTTTTCAATTTAAAGCAATCTGTTATTTCTATAGAAGTCAAGTTTCCCAAACTTGGGGAGGTTGTGGTGTGATCTTTCCTCCATGGTACTATACCCTTTTCTTCATATTCCTCTTCTTCTTTCGTCCCCGAGATGAAGATCTCCACTAAATTGTCACAATATTCTATCTTCATTTTTTCCAAACCAATAAGACTATGCAATAAAGCTGGTGAGAAAAGTTTAATTAACTTTGGGCATCTTTCCACACTTATTCTATTCAAGTTACAGAGGTTTATGTATTGAGTGTCACCCTTCCATATATGCGTCACCTCTGGTAGATCTTCCAACTCTAGATCCTTTAATGACGAGAGCAACTTTGTTTCTCCATTTGCAACCTTAAGCTCTTCACAATCAAATATATATACCACTGATTTACACCCAAATACACCCAAAGATTCTAGATTTTGAAACCTCGGTAGCAAATAACTTGGAACAATGTTTAACAACTTGTTGCACCGAAGCACAATTAAACTTTTGAGCTTCTCGAAGGACTGGATTGGGGGTTCACCATGACATATTTCAACCAAGTTGGGATGGTGTCGGATTTCTAGTTCCTCTAAGTTTTGGAATGTTAACTTTGATTCCCTTTCCAACATATTTAGGAGATATGTTACGTTCCGATCAGTCACAGTTAGACTTTTCAACTCATTGAGACCTCTATCTACAAGGTCAAGAAAGATGTTTGGTAAACCACAGATAAATAGACACTCTGTTTTTCTAGTTACCAAATTCTTAAGGCAATCAGACAATCGTAAAATCGTAACATCATTAGCTGAGATCATAATTTTCCTTGAATAATATCTTTTAGCCGACAAAAAGTCCTTCCAATCACTTGCATAACCTATTATTATTGTAAAGCTTGATAACTTTTTGAAAAGCATGTCATTATCAGGCAAAAGATCCTGGTCTGGGAAAAAAATTTTCAAGCAAGTTAGTCTAGACAAGTTTTGTAACTCAGCAAGGGTGGCTTTGCTTCTCCAATCCCCCTCATCCCCCTCATCTCTCTCAAAATCCCAAATATTAAAACTTGGGAAATATATCTCCTCTAACTTACAAAGAGCCGATAAAACACCATATGCTATTCGCTTTAGCCGTCGACAGTAGGTTAAATCTAATAGCCTCAGCTGAATTAATTGTTTAAAAGAGATAGGTATCTCCCTAAAAAATAAACTACAAATGCTAAGACTTTCTAGGTTTCTTAGATGCCCAATTATAGATAAGTCACCCAAATAACAATCATTAAGATATAATGTTCTAAGATTTACAAGCAAAGAAATTGAGCTGGGTACTGGCGATTGATATATATGAGTTTCACTCAAGTATAGAACTCTAAGATCTTTCATGCCTTGAAAGAAATTGTTAGGGAGAACCAATTCACGATTCCCTTGCAATAGTAAAGACTGCAACTTTGGGCATTCAATCCCATTAGGTACAGCTTTAATATTATTTGACATCAATGAGATACATGTGAGACTTTCAAGTGTTTCTCTTTCTGGCCACTCTTCCAATCTAATGCCAGCTTTAACCAAGAATATTTGGTTGTACTTAGGTGCTATTATATGTGCAACCTGACGTACAACATCATGCATTTTAACATACTCTTCATCATCGTAGTCACTTTCTTCATCAATCAAGAGAAAAGAAGAGATAAGAGTACTTACAATAGCATGTGCTCTGTGTCTAACATCCTCCATTGTCTCAACATTTTTGAACCACCTCAAACCAGCTCCATATCTCGCTAAAACTTCAATTGAGATTCTGAAATCCTCTGGAAATAAGCTACAAAAGAAGAACAGTGATTTTGCATCGTCACTCTCTAGATATTTGATGCTCAACTCCAAAGAGGAAATCACGCTTCCTTTCAACCCTGGGATGTCTGTTGGGGTAGACGTTTTGAGTTGTCGTGCCACGTCAGTCCAGACATGCTTGTTTTTATTCTTCAAAGCTCTTGCTATGGTAACAACTGCAATCGGCAAACCACCACATTTAGCGGCTATCTCTCTGGCAATTGGGTTTAAATCACTGTTGTCAACACATGCTCCAGCTTTTTCCCTAAAAAGGGCCCAAGATTCTTCTTTTGATAACGTTCCAACCGTAAATACCGGTTGAGCATTCATTCCGTCACATACATGTCCGCTTCGAGAGGTGATCACAATCTTGCAACCTCTATGGTCAATTCCAAAAGGAATTCCAATCTTATCCAGCTCAATTCTTCCCCAAACATCGTCTAATATTACAAGCATCCTTCCTTCCTTCTTTATTCTTTCCCAAAGGGAACTTGCTCTTGCTATCTCGCTAGAGCCTGGCAAATTTTTGAAACCCAGCATGTCAGCAATTTCCCCTTGAATCTTCATGATATTTACGGTTTGAGACACAGTTGTCATCACCACAACATCATATCGCTTATCTTCTTTTGCTTGTTTGCCGATTTCTTTCACTAATGTGGTCTTACCCACACCGCCCATCCCACACACTCCAACGATACTGACGTTGTCATCTCCCAAGGCCTCCAAGATTTGCTTCATAATTGATTTTCTGGATTCGAAAGCTCCAGAAAATACCTCAAACGGATAAATAATTCCTGGAGGAGGAGCAGGACGGGATACCTTCTCAAATTTCCCATCTTCTAGGAGCTGAGAAATCGCAAGATTCTTCTTATTCGCCTCCTTACTGAATCTGTAACGCGATCTGGGATTAATACACCACCCGTTGAGACACCTCTTGTTTGCATTGACTTCATTTTCTAAATTGGTAGCTGCTGCAGAGATTTTGTCAACTGCTGCCTTCCAGTTCTGCACATCAGTTTCAATAATTTCAAGATTCCTTTCAGCAGCTTCAACTTGTCCCTGTACCCTCTCTCTGATACCTGCAAGTTTCTTAGCTTGCTTTTCCAACGTCCCAATGTTGTCGTTGTAGTGAAACAAGTAACCGAGGTGACGGCCTGCTGCGCCGAACAAGCGGTCGGTAATGCTCCCGGTAATGCTCCCAACAATTGAATCCATGGTGTTTTAAGAGAAAATCAACGAGAGAAATGACAAAGAAAACACAAGGTTTCAGTGACTATTAAGAGTAATCATGAACGACTCCCTTTATAAGTCGTCTTCTATCTGTGCACTCCACTCCAAAAAGATAACATTATTGTTTACTTTTGACAAAAGTTGTCTGCCACTTAAAGAAAAAGAAGAAAAGATGGGTGCATGATTAATAACAACACATCCGTGAATTATTTTCTTGGTCTAGACGTAGAAAAGATGGGCGCATTATCAAAAGCATAATCCCATAATTATTATTATTATTATTATTATTATTTTTAAATGAAAATTGAATTCTTCCTTTTAATTTGTTGATAACACTTGAATGGTTCTGATCTTTGCACTTTCCATATATAGATTACAAATTTTATGACTGTTTGAGCATTCTATGCACTGGTTTCCCCTGTATTTCCATTACAATTATCTGATTTTTCCGATCTGAATTCAAATTTTCCTTACTTATAAATAAAAAACTTGGAAATTTACAGATTCCATATATAGATTACAGTGAATAAAATGCACTTAATCGATTAATAATTACTCAAATTTTCTAAACAAAAACTAAATACAAAATGTTATAACATGAATAATTGGAGTGTCTTCACCATATATGTTTATATAATTTTTGGGTAATTAGGAGTGTTTGACCGGCTAAATTATAAGCCATATGATGAGCAGCTATATCTCCTTCCAATATTTTAAGTACCTGAAAAATATTCAACAAAACTTATTGAAAATTACATTCTAATTTTATGACTAATTATAATATTTTTAAGAATTATAAACATGAATTCTACCAACCTTAATTTAGTTCTCGATTCCTCAAAATCAATGCATTGATTATTAAATACTGAACTATTGTTTACAACGTGGTTTTTGAGGAATGTTGGGTAGTTTAGATTGTATGCACTGGAAGTGGAAAAACTGTCCAACAGCTTGAGCAGGATAATATGCTGGTCGTAGTGGATCCCCAACTATTATTCTCGAGGCTGTAGCTGATTATGATCTTTGGATATGGCATGCATTTTTTGGTTTGCCAGGTTCCAATAATGACATTAATGTGTTGGAGGCATCTCATTTGTTTGCCAACCTAACTCAAGGTATTGCTCCTCTCGCTCATTATAGCATTCAAGGAAAAGATTATAATATAGGTTATTATTTAGCTGATGGTATATACCCAAAGTGGTCTACTCTCGTACAAACTATTCACGATCCACGTGGTCCCAAAAAAAAATTATTTGCAATGAAACAGGAAGGATGTAAAAAAGATGTGGAACGTGCGTTTGGAGTTCTCCAACCGCGATTTGCAATTGTGGCAGGACTGACATGTTTTTGGGATAAAAATGTATTACATGATATAATGACTGCTTGTATTATTATGCACAACATGATAATTGAGGATGAACGTAATGTTGATGCATCGATTAAGAATCAGATGGAAGCGCCAACTCCCGAAGTTGAAATTGTCGTAGATGAGAATGTCCGATTTCGAAATTTTCTTGCTCGACATAAACAAATCAAGGATGCAGAGGCTCACCATGCTCTTCAAAATGCATTAATTGATCATTTGTGGGAAGAACATACTAATTCAGAAAATTAAATTACTATCAATATGGAATTTTACCTTTGTGGTGTTGTTGTTCTTTTTTTTTTTTTTTTTTGTATCATTTTATATTAGATGTAATGTTTTTCTATATTAAATGTAATGTTTATTTGATTAAATAAATGCTTAATTTTATTAAATTAGTATAATTTTCAAAATAATTATTATTTAATAAAAATATCATTCCCATTATTTAATTAATATATACAAAAATAATGAGTGAAATATATTAATTGTTGATTATTACAATAAAAGAAAAAAAAGAATATTCTAAATAATATTCTAAAGAATATTCTTTTTTGTGTAATATTTGGTGTTGTGGGTTGGAGATTGAATAGTATTTTACACCAATTTGATGCAATGGGTTGGAGATGGTCTAAGGAATGTCTAAAAGTTGTCTGCCACTAAGAGAAAAAGAAGGAAAGATGGGTGCATAGTTAATAATGTCATTTAGTAACTAGTACCGAGGGCCAGCTAGCTATTTGTGTCTTTGAAATCATAGGAGGAGACATGAGAAGGAGCGGATGGGGGGTGGGGTCGGGTTGGGTGGATTGTTAATGCATGTGGATAGCAAGAGGGTTTTGTTGAATTTGTGAGACCAAATATCTTTGGATTCCAACTACCCCAAATAAAAACACGAAGTTGGTAAAAGCTATAAGGCCTAGGGCTTCGGATAAGAGATTAATGATTCCTCGTGATGTGTGTGTGTTCATCATATGCCAATTTGATACATTTAGAAAATGATATTTATAAATAATCCAATAATACTGGTTCTCATCATATGTCAAACCAGGACCCATATGTCAAACCAGGACCTATTTTGTGAGCTAATCAATGACGAATTATTACATCGAGGTTGTAAAAAGAGGTTATGAGTGTAGCATTACTCTTCTAGAATTTGCCCAATAAACTTCATTTTTAATAATCTAGGTTGATGACAAGTGTAAGCTTGAGCCTCTAATTCGTTTTAGAGTTTATTGAACCTTTAATGGGAGGGTCCAACAAATTGATATAAATTGGCTAGGTCCCATTTTCAAAACATGATTGTACAATGAACCCCATTTAGAAGTCGTCATTCTGGAAGATTTCTAGAAAAGAAAACCGGTCACTACTTGCAGGGAATTCAAGGAATTTAAAAGCCTTAGCAGAATCATGTTCTTTTAATCCTTAAATTTTGAATTCAATATTCTATGATCAATATGCAAATCTTGTGATTAATTATTAGAATTGAAAGGAATTCATGTTAGAATTCCTACAATTATATCACATCGAATTTTATAAACAAAATTGTATGAATAAATCTAGATGTGGTTTAAAAGTTATGCATCATTTATAGGTGATTGTAATATCATAAACTAATATAACATCAATTTGTGGCATTTTTATTTCATAATTAATTACAAGATTTAGTAAATAAACTCATTTTCTTCGGGTTTATCTATAAGGAATCTCTAAAAGTTGTCTGACCTTTGGATCTGTGAATTATTTTCTTGGTCTAAAAGTAGAAAAGACGACGCTTTATCAAAAGCATAATTATTTTTTAATCAATAAAAAGACAAAAGTTGGTAAAAGCTAATGGCCTACCTAAGCCTTGGGATAACTTACGCCAATTTCCTCTTTTTCACATTTCATCTACAAACGGAATAGAGATTAATGATTCCTCGTGATGTGTATGTTCATCTCATCATATGCTAATTCTTCTTCCTTACCGGGAAGGGTAAGGTTACAGCCCAAGATCATTTTAGCTGGGCAAGGTCCATAAATGTTATCGTTATGGATTCGTAGAAATTTTGGAAAATTATATCTACAAATAATCCAATAACACTTGAATGGTTCTGATCTCTACACTTTCCATATAAAGATCCCAAATTTGATGACTCTGCAGTTTACTCTGTTTGACCATTTCAATTTTCATGCTCTGTTTTCCCCTGAAATTCCATTACAATTATAGGAATTTAACCTTAAAGAAAGGCATCCCATTTTGTGAACATGGAGGTGAAGGATCCTTTTTGTAAATTACAGAAAACTGAGATTCCATCACAATTTTACCTGCAAATTTCTTCCAATAAATAGTTTCAACACTCAAAACTCTTAAATTTGTAAGGAATGTCAAAAAGTTGTCTGTCACTAAGAGAAAAAGAAGGAAAGATGGGTGCATGGTTACTAACTTTGGATCTGTGTATGGTTAATAATCCGATATTGTAGCAAAAAGTATATTGCTAGTATAAACATACATGCTATTTCTTGGAAAATTTTAATGAATCAAAATTCAACAGACAATATAAATTGGAAATGTTATCACAAACCTCTTCAGCTTGTCTGCTTTTCTGAAAAATGCATTTGATTTCTTTGTGCTACAATTCCTTGCTCTGTGTGTTCCCCTGAATTTTCCATTACAATTTTTTTGATATAAATCTAAACAAACTATGTTGTGATTATGGTAAGGATCCTAATAGAATGATCATGCTTCATACCACTGAAGAAAGAAAAATTTTTATAGTACAGATGTTTACAACGCTCAAACTCTTTATACATCTACAATTGAATTGAGTTCTTATATAAACATCCCAAGCTCTTGAATAGCTTAGAAATGAAGAAATTTGACAGATACCCAGTCCAGTATCTCAAACACACAACCAAAACAGTAACAGTCGCCAATAAAAAAACCCAAAAAGCATCCGCAATATATATATATATAAAACCGGTCTATACTAAGTCAAGAACAACTTTAGCTCAGCAAACATTAACAAGATTGGATAAAACCAAACAAAACAAAATGAACACAGCCTGCTGAACTTCGAGGGCTAACTCCTCCATTTACCTAAATGCTAAGCTTCGAGGGCTAGCTGCTCCCTATTTTCCCAATTTCCTCTTCGATAAAACAGTTCTCTCTTTATCCTTTTCCTTAATTCTCATTTCATTTTCACACAATAACCGAATTTCCCTTCCTGACCAACCAATATATGCCATCTGTCCCAGCCCAAATATACTCCTTAACACCTTTCTACAATAAGAATCTTCCTATCACCTCCTTTTTAATCTGCTGCCAACTCCCTTACCTTTCCTTCCATACACCTTCATCATTGTGTTTTTATCAAATTCAACACAACTCCCCTTTAGCGCTTCTTCTACAAAGCATAAACAAACTCCAATTATCAATAATAATTGAAAATTAACTTTTTAAGGTTATTAATTTACTAGAAAGTAAACTAATTACCAACATTATATTAATGTTTAATTGAAAATTAACTTTTTTAGGGTTAGTTTTGTTTAGCATACTATATTAACGGTTATATCCATACCAGTATCTATTGCAAAATTGAGTCTCAGTTGATGTACTTTCACGTAAACCTTCTGGCTTCTCTGCGTTTTGCTTCTTATTCTTTTCCAGTTCCTGCATTCAATTACGGTTTGATTTCTTTTTATTGAAGCTATTTACAACATTTCTCTTCTCATGGATTTTAGGTTACTGTAAGCATTCATCCATAGGAAAATATAAACAAATAAAAATTCAATCAAAGAAAAAATTTGCTAAGTTTCCCATCTGTTAATCAAAATTGCTTCAAATACAATTGATTGTACAAAATGTTTATTTTTCACTTTGATCAATTAAAATGGGTTCGAATTTGAAAAAAAAAAAAAAAAATGCTAACATCTACTGAAAATTCTTGTATGAATAGCTTTTGATTCCAACACCTTTAGTTTTCATAACATAAAATATTTACTAAGACAACTAAACAACTTATCCTGTTTATAGTCCCTATAAATTATGCATTAATATTTAAACCATCAAATAAAAGAATAGAATAATGACAAATTGACAAGACGTTAATGTTAATTTAAACCATCATTAATTAGCTACCTCTTCTTCTTCTTCATCATCATCATCACCACCACCACTGTCTTCCGACTATTTTCCTATTTAGATTGTTGAAGAAATGTTCCCTTCTTTCCTTCTAGAGAAGCATTCCAAACACACTCCAACGACGTTCATTATAAGGAATCCACTTGTTAACAGCAATTTCATTTTTGTTGCTTAATTTTCAGAACCAGATCATCATGATCTACCAATGAAAAAAGTTGCAAAAGCACAACAGAAAACTGAATGCAAAGAAAATACAAATGGTGACAATCAATTAAGCTATTCATAAGAAAGATTAAGTGGTAGACTTTCTTATCCACAAAATAAAAGAACAGATTTCAAATTCGAATAAGAATGCTTTGAATAATGCATAATCCACTACCTCCTTAAGAGCATCCTGATTCCAAAACAGCTCATCCTCTTCAATTTCATCATCATGCAACTTAGTCATCCTGCAAAATCATTCATTTTAGTCTCTCCAATTCCCACTCAGGTATTATTACATCAATACAATCATAGCTTGTGAATTTTACCACTACGTAGCAGGCATCCTGGCACAGCTTTCATCAAATGTAACATCACATACATTGCACAATCCGGGCATGATTGACACTGTTAAATGTTTAAACTCCACGTAAATATTACACATTAAAAGTGATATAAGACTATTTGTTCAAAGAAATGAAACTGTACCTTCATTTAGATTATCAGATTTTATTTCTTATCACATAGTAATACTTTCATTACAAGTCCAACAACTACCAAAAATTGAAACAATTCATTCGGTAACGCTACCACTGTATCCTCAATTTGCACATAAAGAATGCTACTGCACCAATTTCTTCTTTGAAAAAAAAAAAATAAATAATGAAAATTTCCAAGCCTCGGCTTCTGGTAACACTACCGTTACAGCGTCGTAGTTTCACATTACCACAACATAAGCAACGAAGAAGAAACTATATGAAACCATTTCCTCTTCAGCTTGTCCGCTTTTTCCGAACAATGGATTTAATCTCTTTGTGCTACCATTCAATGCTCTGTGTTTCCCTGAATTTTCTGTTACAATTTCCTAAATTGAATCTAAACAAACTATATAAATTGTGATTATGGTAAGGATCCTAATAAAATGATCATGAATCAAACAACTGAAGAAAGAAAAAAGTATTTTACATCCAAATATTGTTCAAATAATATAACTATTTACAACAATCAAAATTCATTTATTTATCTACAATTGAATTAAGTTGTTATATAGACATCCCTAAGCTCTTGCATGTGTTAGAAATGAAGAAGTTAAACATCATCTCCTTTTGTGCTTTGCTCCTTATACTTTCTCAATGTTAGCCTTCCTCTACAAAACAATATTAACTAATTAACTGAAATTGGCAATGACGATTAAAAATTTGGATAAATTTTGGTGAACGTGATTCATACCATATTTTCAGGTAGTCCTTCTGACTTCTCTGCGTCTTGCTTCTTATTCTTTTCCATTTCCTGCATGTAATTACGGTTTGATTTCTTTATATTGAAGCTATTTACTCCTCATGGATTTTACGTTATTGTGAGCATTCATTCTTATATATGAATAGTTTTTTATTCCAAAACCTTTACTTTTTGATAACATAAAATATTTACTAAGACAACTCATCCTCAGTAATCTCTGTTTATAGTCCCTATAAATTATGCATTTTTTAAACCATCAAATAAAATAATAAAATAATGACAAGACATTAATGTTAATTTAAACCATCATTAATTACCTACCTCCTCCTCTTCTTCTTCTTCTTCTTCATCATAATCACCATGGATCATCATCATCACTGTCTTCTTGTGATTCAAATAAAATACTATGGATCATCATCATCATCATCATCATCATCACCTCTGGCTTCTTGTGATTCAGAAAAAATAAAAAGCACAAACAATTAATTTTTTTAAAACAAAATGAGACATTTACCAAATATTTTCCTTTTTTTTTTTAATTGAAAAATAAACTCAAACATGATTCATACCATCTACATTGTTGACTAACTGTTTCCTTCTTTCCTCCTGCAAAACAAATCAGATTTTTAGATAATTTACGTATCTGACAACTAAACATGATTTAACTTATTAAGTATTTGTGCAATTAAACATAATATAAGAAGATATTATGATACAAAATTATTTTCAAACATTAAAACACAATTTCAAGTTTTGAATGGCAATTCAGATTTACATAGTCTAAAAACATATTTTTTGATCAATGCTCTGTTTTCCCCTTAAGTTTTCCAAATTATGCATCAATCATCCACTGATAAAAGAAAAAATAATATATTTTGCATTTAATGTTTCATTTTCTTTAAAATAGTAAAAATATCTACAATTGTTTATTATGTATAACTAATCAATTCACATACCTGTTATATGAACAACTGTTGCAATGTGGAGTTAAGGTTACCCCTCCACCGTTCTTCTTTATCATGATAATCAATAATAACTTTGTTGAGTTTTGGTGTCAATTGTTCTCCATAACCAAAGATCTTCATATTTGGACATTCATAAATCCAAAGAGACTCCAAAGCTGGGAATTCAATAGAATATGAGCCTGAGCTGAAATAAACAATGTTATCGAGACCTCCAAGGCGCAAAGACGACAAACTAGGAAATACAATCCTCTGTATTGCTGATGTTTCCTCATTTGTGATTATTTCATGTAGTGTTGAGCATCCAACTATGCAAAGGCTTCTAAGCTTCACCAGTCTATTGACTAAGGACGGGCTGAAGAGGTTTTTCACTTTAGAGCTACTCATTATGTCTATAGAAGTCAAGTTTCCCAAACTTGGGGAGGTTGTGGTGTGATCTTTCCTCCATGGTGCTATACCCTTTTCCTCATATTCCTCTTCTTCTTTCGTCCCGAAGATGAAGATCTCCTCTAAATTCTTGCAATCCCATAACCTTATTTCTTCCAAACAAATAAGACTCTGCAATAAAGCTGGTGAAAATAGTTTAATTAACTTTGGGCATCTTTCCACACTTATGTAACAAATGACTTGGAACAATGTTTGACAACCTGTTGCACTTAAGCACAAATAACGATTTTAGCTTATTGAAGGACTAGGTTGAGGGTTCACCATGACATATTTCAACCAAGTTGGCAAGGTTCCAGATTTGTAGTTCCTCTAAGTTTTTGAATGTTAAGTTTGATGCCCCTTCCAATGTATTTAGGAGATACATCACATTCTGATCACGTATTATTAAACCTTTCAACTCATTGAGACCACTATCTACAAGTTCACGAAACATATTTTCCAAACCAATGATATATAGATATTCTGTTTTTCCAATTACCAAATTCTTAACACAATCAAGCAATCATGAAATCATAACCTCATTAGTGGAGATCATAATTTTCCTCGAATATTTGATTGTACTCTCGAAAAAGATCCTCACATCGAAAAATTTTGCATGCATTTCTAAGTTGCCAGCAAGGTTTTAAGACAAATGCCATTATAACTCTTACCTAGCAGGCAATTCGGTCACTGCACAGACAGCCTTCCCTGGATCTGGAAAGACATATCAAAGAACAAAATCAAGAGCATGCACTTACTAAATGTTCAAGTAAATCATCACTGCACCAAAGAACATCAGGCTTATGAAATACAAAATACAGGTAAATACATTTCACAAAACCATATTGGAAAATAAAAAAATTCAGGTGACTAAGGTGAGCCAATCCAAGCTCTTCTTTTGCAAACTAATGTGTTGATCATGGATGATGGAACTTTAACGGTAGAACTTCAGAAGTCTATGCATTTGGTTTCCATGAATAAAAACAAAGTTAGGGGAGAATGGGATTTTTGACGTTTAATTTTTGATGAAGCAATTCAGTGCACATGAAGAGAGCCTGGAAAATTAGATGAACATTATAAAGCCAGATTTTACAAGATAGTTTCTTTTTAAATAATAATTTGGTACTTTACATGCTATTGCAGTTTCTATCCACTTAAAAATCTGCAATGATTATATCACTACAGCCCATCCTAGGAAGGCTGCAACCCTGTGGAGGGGAATCATTAATTCATGCAGGGGCCTGTATATTTATAGCAACTTCAGAAGGCCACATAATTGAATAATTGAGATTAAAAAGCATAACTAGAAGAAAATTGAGTCATTGGCAGTTACAAGCTCTGCAGGAGATGTTGACAGTTACACATTTTCAGTTGATGCCTTACGAGCATTTTTTTCCAAAAATATTAGCTTGCAACCACCTTAGATACGATGAACTTACAAGGAACAGACGTGGTTGAGATCTCTGACTGAGAGGATGCGCCTTTACTGAATTCTAGATATGAATAATCTGTACGAGAAATTTATAAATAAGTATAAAACACTTTCAATACTAACAACAGTGTACAATCTATAGTTGGAGATCACTTTTAAAGTGAAGAACTCAGATCAATAACAAATCAGAGAATGCTTACCATCATTTGACAAATATCGTATCTGTGGGCCACCATAGACAGCTTTGTGTACTAGTGCTCTTTTCTTAACTTCCTCCTCTCCCACTAAATTACATTCTAAGTTCCTCAATTTCATGAACTCTACAAAATTACAGTTCACACCATTAAAGTTGAGCTCGTATAAGGAAATGGTCCATAATTCCAGAAATTCATGAGATGATATTAAATACCATGTGCTGCTATAACCTAACCTGTCTGAGCTGCTTCCAGAAGCATCTCTTCTTGGGTCATCCTCTTCTCCTCTCCTTCCTTTTTCCTTTTTACTGGCTAAAGATAGAAAAAATATAAAAGACTGGATAAACATTCATGCCAACTTATAGGATCACAAATTACAAACTGTGTAACATTGTGTACAGAGAGTCCCTTCCTGGTATTGTAGATAGACAAACGTGGCACCAGAACCATAATTGTAGAAACACTAAAGAAATCAAGGGCCCAATAATGTAACTATACAAATACCTTAATGTAAGCCCATGAATTGAACTGAGTGGTATAGGCCCTTAGTTTCAACTAAGAGGTCAAAGATTCAGGTTCCTAACACCAACAAGTGTAAGTCAAATCAGATAATAAAGATACTCTAATAGTGTAGGACAAAAAATACAAAATCTGCGAAAAGCACAACACCGAAAAACAGATGAATGTCTCAATATAACAGAACACACTCACGTCTTCATCAAAGTCACTATCAAACTCATCAGCCCTCTACATAATTATTATCATTCTCTTCCTTAAAAAAAAAAAAAAAACACACACACACACACACATCGTGTGTCATGGTAAAACTTGTAGCACTTTAGTGTGTCATAGTAAAACTTGTAGCACTTTGGAGTTAAAACCGCCCATCCATCGTGAAAAAACAATTGTTGCACTTATTTTGTTAGAAATGCAATTAAAGAGTTAAAATCACTCAGTAAGTGCTTTCCCAAACATCTCCTTTTAGCTGCTTTTATCCAAAAAAAAAAAAAAAAAAAAAAAAAAAAACACAATTTACTTGAAAGCTTCTTCTAGAGAAGCACTCCAACCACATCATTACAAGTAGTCCTCTTGTTAGCAGAAATATCATTTTGTTGCTTCATTTTCAGAACCAGATCATCATGATCTACCAATGAAAAAGTTGCAAAAGCACAACAGAAAACTGAATGCAAAGAAAATACAAATGGAACACTCAATTAAACTATTAATATTAAAGATTAAGTGGTAGACTCTCTATCCACAAAATAAAAGAGCAGATTTCAAATTCAAAGATAAGCTTTGAATAATGCATAATCTACTACCTCCTTAAGAGCATCTTGATTTCAAAACAGCTCATCCTCTTGAATCTCATCATCGAGCAGCTTAGTCATCCTGAAAAATCATTCATTTTATCTCTCCAATTCCCACTCAAGATATCACATCATCAACCATAACTTGTGAATTTTACCACTACACAGCCAGCATCTTCTTCTCGAGGTTTCTTCATGCCTCCGCTGCGGCTTCTACAGAAATTCTTTTTTCAGTTCTTTCGGGAAATAAATACGAGCGCCTCGATTGTCACTTGCAGATAAAATTTCTAGGTTTTCCAGCCGACTCTTAAATGACTTACGGCGAAACTGACGACCCGTAGATCAACTAAGGAAGAAGAAAGATCGAGAAGGAGAGCGAGACGGTGAGCACGGGTAGCGTTAAACCGAACCGGGGATAAGAACCGAAACCGAAACCAGAACCTACCCAGAACCTGCACTGTACGGGTAGGTTCCGGTTCCAATTTTTTGGAACTGCTACTGTGCGTTCCGGTTCCGGTTCCGGTTCCGGTTCTTGCATGTGGAGGAACGGAACCTGTAAAAAGGGTACCCTGTTTGGAACTTGTAGGGGGTACCCGGTTTGGAACCTGTTTGGAACCTATTTTAGAACCTGTTTGAACCTGTTTTGAACCTATTTGGAATCTGTTTTGGAATCTGTTTGGAACCTATTTTGGAACCTGTTTAAAAACCTATTTTAGAACCTGGACTATAATGAAATATTTGTGAAATGTAATAATGGGGAGTTTCTATTATTTACATAAAAAAATTTAAAATAAAAAATTTAAATTTTAGAATAACCTATTAATAAATATACAATACAATTATACTTATACATATATATTACACCATATAAGCTTAATAATTATAATACATTAATATTAAAGTTTTGATCAATTAAGTGAATAGTTGGAATTATGATCCAATTAAAAGTGTTTTACATTTTTAATGTTATAAAAGAATTATTTTTGTAAAATAGTATATTTGATTGAGTAATATATATTATGTTATTTACTTCAATTATCAGTTCTAAGTATATCTATAATAAATTAGTAATTTAATTATATATGATAAATTGATAATATTATAATTTAATTACTAGTTAATATCATACTTAATCAATTATAACATTACATTATGTTAAATGATACTTAATTATTATAATTTTATAACTACTTAATTGATTTTTAGTATATAATTATAGCTTACTTAATTGATTACTACTTTTAATTGACTTATAAGTTATAACATAATTAAATAGTTAATTAATTGACTTATAATTGAAATTTATTAATTTAGTTATAGATTTATAGTATAATTACTTAATCAATTATAACATTTTATTATAAATTAGTACAAATTTAATTAAATGATTAAAAATTTAATTAATTATAATTTACATTAAAAATTTATAGTATGATTACTTAATAGTTAATTCACTATAACATTACATTATAGTATATTATAAATAATTATATCATTACATAATTAAATAATTACTTAATTGATTATGTCATTATTTAATATTAGTAATTACAATTTATTACATAACATTAGCATATACTTAATTAAATGATAAGAAATTTAATTAATTATAACATTACCTTATAAACATTTCATTATAACATTAATTAAGCATTACATTATAGTTAAATAATTACTCAATTAATTATAAATTATATATACATTTATATTATGATCACTTACTTAATTATAGCATTAAATAGTTAAAGATTATATAATTACATATTAGTTATGATTTATAACTACATATAAACATTAGTAATTTACTAATTTACTATATATTACATTAATTACACGTATTTAAAATTTAATTAATTATAACATTACCTATTATTTATAATATGATTACTTAATCAATTAACATTCCATTATAAACTTAATTTATCAAATATTTGAATTTAATTAATATAATATAAATTATGTTTTATAGTATGATTACTTAATTCTTATAACATTACATATACTTTTAGTATGATCATATATTAATATAACATTACATAATTAAATTATTACTTAATTGATTATGAGTTATGATATTATGTTTTAAAACTTAGTAATTACTAATTTACTACATATATTAGCACAATATTAATTAATATAGAAGAATTTAATTAATTATAACATTACCTTATACCATTCCTTATAAACATTAATTAAGCATACATTATAGTTAAATAATTATTCAAATAAATTATAATATTATTATATTACTTATATATTATGATCACTTACTTAATTATAGCATTACATAATTAAATGATTACATAATTATATATTAGTTATGAATTTTATAACATTATATATAAACATTAGTAATTTACTATTTACTATATTATTACATTACTTAATTAAACGATTAAAATTTAATTAATTATAACTTACCTATATATTTATAATTGATTACTTAATCAATTATAACATTCCATTATAAACATTAGTATTTAATCAAATGATTTGAAATTTAATTAATTATAATATTAAATTATAATTTATAGTATGATTACTTAATTCATTATAACATTACATTATACTATTATAGTATGATCTATAATTTATAACATTACATAATAAATGATTACTTAATTGATTATGAGTTATGATTTATTTTTTTAAATTAGTAATTAGTAATTTTACTTCATAAACATTAGCACAATACTTAATTAAATGATAAGAAATTTAATTAATTATAACATTACCTTATAAACATTAATTAAACATTACATTATGTTATAATTATTCAATTAAATTATAATTATTATATTACATTATATATTATGATCACTATACTTAATTTAGCATTACTAGTTAAATGATTACAAATTACTTAATTAGTTATGAATTTATAACATTACGTTATAATATTAGTAATTTAGTAATTTACATATATTACATTACTTAATTAAACGATTAAAAATTTAATTATTATAACATTACCTTATATATTTTAATATGATTTATCAATTATAACATTCATTATAAACATTAGTATATTAATCAAATGATTAAATTTAATTATTATAATATTAAATTATAGATTTATATTGATTACTTAATTCATTATAACATTACATTATACTATTATAGTATGATCATATAATTATATACATTATATAATTAAATGATTACTTAATTGATTATGAGTTATGATATTATGTTTTAAACATTAGTAATTACTAATTTACTACATAAATATTAGCACAATATTAATTAAATGATAAGAAATTTAATTAATTTAACATTACCTTATAAACATTTCATTTAAACATTAATTAAGCATTACTTATAGTTAATATTACTCAAATAAATTAATATTATTTAATTACATTATATATTATGATCACTTACTTAATTATAGCATTACATAGTTAAATGATTACATAATTACATAATTAGTTATGAATTTATAACATTACATTATAAACATTGTATGATTACTTAATTCATTATAATATTACATTATACTATTATAGTGATCATATAATTAATAAACATTATAATTAAATATTACTTAATTGATTTGAGTTATGATATTATTTTTAACATTAGTAATTCACATTTACTACATAATATTAGCACAATATTTAATTAATGATAAATTTAATTAATTATAACATTACCTTATAAACATTCATTATAAACATTAATTAAGCATTACATTATATTTAAATAATTACCAATAAATATAATATTATTATATTACATTATATATTATGATCACTTACTTAATTATAACATTACATAGTTAAATGATTACATAATTACATAATTAGTTATGAATTTATAACATTACATTAAAACATTAGTATTTACTAATTTACTATATTATATATCACTTAATTAAACTATTAAAATTAATTAATTATAACATTACCTTATAATTTATATGATTACTTAATCAATTATAATATTCCATTATAAACTTAGTATATTAATCAAATGATTTGAAATTTAATTAATTAATATTAAATTATAGATTTATAGTATGATTACTTAATTCATTATAACATTACATTATACTATTATAGTATGATCATCTATTATATAACATACATAATATGATTACTTATTGATTATGACTTATATAAACATTAGTAATTTACTAATTTACACATACTTAATCAAATTATTATAATTTTATTAATTATACCATTATATTATAATTTATGGTAATTATTTAATTAATATAACATTCTATTATAAAAATATTACAATACTTATTAAAGATTAACAATTTAATTAATTATAATATTACATAATAAATAGTATATTACTTATTAATATAACAGTACAATTTACATTATAGTATAATCACTTATTATTATAACTTATAATTTACTTGTAGTATGTCACTTATTAATTATATATTACTAGTTTCTAATATTAAATTTACTAAATTATATTTGGTATATTATAAATACCCAATTGACCAATTATAACATAAATTAGTAAATTTATAAATATAATAATTTATTTTATGTGAATTGTGTAAGAATTGTTTGTGTTTTGGTTTTGATTGACGAATTTTATGTGAATTGTGATGATGATTGAATTCAAGTGTCTTAGAATTACAGTTATGAGTTACATTGGACACAAATGAATGAATAATGAAATTTGTAAGGGTATTTGTAAACTTATAAGGTATTTTTGTTATTTTTTAAACTAATAGGGGGGTAATTGATTTTTTATAGGGTACCCTGGAAAGGAACCGGAACCTGCATTTTAGGTTCCGGTTCCTTGAATTGAAGAACCTGCACTGTGCGGTTCCGATTCCGGTTCCTTTTTTTGGGAACCTGCACTGTGCGATTCCGGTTCTGGTTCCCCCAGAAAATGCAGGGTACCCAGAACCGCTCACCCCTAAGCGAGAGGGACAAGAGAAGCTGTTTGGTTACTGAGAAACAGTGGAGTTTTTGAAAGGGGTTTGCTCTGGAAAATATTAGTGACCCTCGAGTCTTCCTCTTTTCATATTGACCCTTTAGGTTTCAGTGACTTATTTCTCCCCTTAAATTTGTCTTTACTATCAAGTGTACCCCTATGGTTTCTTAACTAAAATATGTATTTAATATATAAGTCAGTATAGGGTATAGACCTTAACTTAAAATTTTTATTTTAAAACTAAATTTACTTTTATCAAATAATTCAAAAAAAAAAAATTTCTGCGTTTTCAAATAAACATATTGAATGCGTATTTATTTTTCACTTTTTTCAATATTTTCAATATTTTTAAAAATATAAAAAAACCAAAACATAATTTCATACACACTAAACTTTAATTAACTCAATTTTATATATATGTAATTGAATTAAGATAAATAAACTGTTTGCAATTGAAAAAAAATTAATTAAAGTAGCCAAAAGCTCTCAATTCTTCATCTGTCATGATTTAAAGTCAAAATCTAACCAAATCTAAGATTTAATTTCACCAATTCAACACTAATTTAAGCCATTAAAATTAGAATAAACAATTAAATAATAATAATGTTAGATTACGTTTTCTGCTCTTTTATGATTCTCTTCTCATGTTAAAGATGACTCTCCAAGAACAGGAGAATTGTGTTTGATACATTACAGATTCTGATAAACTATATACAACGATATTCTTTTGTACCATATATATAATATTAATTAATATGTTACCAACAAATTAACATCGCAATTAATCAATGCTAAAACATGTACTTGTGTTACATACCTGTTCTCAAGGTTTTGAACATTCTATGCTTTGTTATCTGCTTCCAATATTTGACGTACCTGAATAACATTTAACAAAAGTACTCATTGAAAATAAAGCCGGAAAATTATGAATAATAATATTTTAAATAATTGAAACAATTAAAAGTACTGAGGGCTGATTAGGAAATAACCTTATACATTGTAGGTCGCCTGCATACATCAAGCATTCAACTTTCTTCTGATTCCATTCATCATTTTCTTTTCTAGTAATGGTCGGCCCTGCAACATCCATATTCAAATAAATTAAATAGGTAGTTTATGAATTAAATTTCGGTGCCCAAACTCGCCTATAACTGTGTCGAGCTCCTATGCTAATTGACCGTCAACCTGCCACCTTGCCGGACTGATATTCCCACCTATTTATGATATCGATGAGACATAAATAATAAAACTTGCAATGAGAATCTTAAATAATCCAATATTACACCAAAAAATATAAAGTTGGTAGATATACCTTTTAAGAAAATCTCATTTCCTGTTCAGCTTGTTTGCTTTTTCCGACTAATGGATTTGATCTCTTTGTTTTACCATTCGATGCTCTGCTTTCCCATGAATCTTCCATCACAATTTTCTGACATGAATCTAAGCAAACTATATATGTTGTGATTATGGTAAGGATCCTAATAAAACGATCATGAATCAAACAATTGAAGAAAGAAAAAGTAGTTTGCATCAAAATATTGTTCAAATAGTATAATTATTTACAACAATCAAAAATCCGTTATTTATCCACAATTGAATTGAGTTGTTATATAGACATCCCTAAGCCCTTGCATAGCTTAGAAATGAAGAAATTAAACATCGTCTCCTTTTGCACTTTGTTCCTTATACTTTCTCAATGTCAGCCTTCCTCTACAAAACAATATTAACTAATTAACTCAAATTGGCAGTAACGATTAAAAATTTGGATAAATTTTGGTGAACGTTATTCATACCATATTTTCAGGTAGTCCTGATGACTTCTCTGCGTCTTGCTTCTTATTCTTTTCCATTTCCTGCAATTACGGTTTGATTTCTTTATATTGAAGCTATTTACTCTTCTCATGGATTTTAGGTTATTGTGAGCATTCATTCTTATATATGAATAGTTTTTTATTCCAAAACCTTTAGTTCTTTATAACATAAAATATTTACTAAGACAACTCATCCTCAGTAATCTCTTTTATAGTCCCTATAAATTATATACTAATATTTAAACCGTCAAATAAAATAACAAAATAATGACAAGACATTAATGTTAATTTAAACCATCATTAATTCTTCTTCTTCTTCTTCTTTGCCATAATGGTCATGGATAATCGTCATCACTGTCTTCTTGTGATTCAAATAAAATAACAAGCACAAACAATTAATTTCTGTTTAAAAACAAAAAGAGACATTTACCTAATATTTTTCTTTTTTTTAATCATTATTATTATAAGTTCTTTTTTATTGTTTATAATGAGACGAAGTAGAATTCAACCTAATGTTAATTTAGATTTCAAAACTAAGAAACATTTGAAAATGCAATTACAACTATAAAATCTTAACAGAATGATAAATATAAGTTTTTGAAAGTGAAACTTCTCTCTTTTTTGTTTCAATGTAAAACTGTAATTTCGTTATTGAAACATCAACTCAAATTACCATGAAACTTTATATAATGTTAATCAATTGATTCATGCCAAATAACTTATATTGTACTTGAAAAATAATTTTAGTTAGAAAAGTTATTGAATTAGTTAGAGCTAGGCATTTGGGACCGGGCCCAAAAGCCCAGCTCCAAAAACCGGTCCTAGGACCGGTCCTTGGGAGGACCAGTCCGCCTAAGGAGGAGGGCCCGGGCCCTCCTCCAAGGCCCGGTCCCAGGCCTGGGCCCAAAAGTTTTTTCTCTTTTATCAATTTAATCCTTTGTAAAATTATATTAAACCCCCTAAAATAAGTATAAATTCAAGGACTAAAATGAAATTTTACAAAATTAATTAAAAAAAGACAAAGAATAACCGTTGGCTGCCAACGGTTATATTTTAATTTATAACCGTTGGCAGCCAACGGTAACTGCCAAGTGCCAACGGTTACATTTATTATTTATATAATATAAGTTTTTTTTTTTCATTTTCCCCCCCACAACCACACTATAATAACCCTAAAACCTTTTATTTTTTCACACCAATCTCTCATTCTTTCATTCTCTCAAGTCTCAGTCTCTCTACTCCAAATCTCAATCAATTCTCATTCAATTTATATTATAATTATATATTATTCAATTTTTTATCTATTTTCAATATATCATAATTTCATATTATTATTTAATTTCTTTTCATTTAATTATTATTATTTTATCATAATTTATAATGTCTTCCCCAAATGAGTTTTACGTTCCATCCACCGAAGAAATTGAAGCCTTCAATCCATTTTCAACCATTTCTCCAGAGGATGCAGCTGTAACTCCACAACTACTTTGGTCGGGACGAGGTGTAGCCAAACACATGTGAGCTGCGCGTCAACGGGCACGGACATAGCCCAACCCCCCGACCATAAAGAGGGTCTTGTCCGTGTCTGGCGATACTTCACAAATCAAAATGGCCAAAGACAAATGGGGAGGGGGAAGAATCGTGTGGGATATGTAATTTATGTGGAACCATTATTGGGGCTGAGAATGGACTTCGACGATGCGACGACACGTAGAGAAGAAGCATCCCCAATAATGCATCTTCAAGCGGATCAGGTAGACAAATTCAAACTCAACTTAATTTTAATCCACAATTCTCAACTCTCCAACATGGCAATACAATACACATGTTGCACGAGGGAAATAGCAAGATATATAGTTGCTACAGAATCTCCCATTTGTTTTCTGAAAATCCTTTTTTGTTAATGATTATTAAAACTGCATTTTGTCCAGCATATACCCCTTAGTAGAACTACAAGTAGAAGAGATATACAAAACTTTTAAACAAAAAAATAATAAACTTAAAATCGAATTTCAAAATTTTAAGAATATATCTATTGCACTTACATCGACATATGGGCTTGTAGATCAAAAACCGATTTTTAACTGTTACAGTACATTTCTTAGATCATAATTGGGGTTTACAACAAAATTGATAGGTTTTAAACCATTATATGAAAAACATAGTGCAAACTATTTATTTTACGATTCTTGAAGTTTTGCAAGAATATTTATTAACTGATAGAGTTGTAGCGCTAACGCTTGATATGCAGCTGCTAACACCACGACATATCTTTATTTGAAAAGAAATGGATCCGCTTGGTGAAGGCAAATTTTCACCAGAGATGTGCTTGTCACATATCAATTTGATAGTTAAAGCAGAGTTTAGATGCTATACATTCAGGATGAGAGGTGCGTAAGTCTTCGATTTATCGTTGGCGGTAGCAATAAAAGATGGAGGAGTACGTCAAATATTGTAGCAAGAGGACCCACGGTTCGACCTTTGAAGTTAGTACAGACATGCCTATCCGTTGGAACTCTACTATGATGTTGGAGCTTTGCCACGCGCAACAATTACAGATTTCGTCAACCGCCGAAGACCTCCCAGGGAAGTTGTCGATTATGATGATTGGGGGGTTTGTGCCTTTTTTATCTTCTTCACAATTTTTTATGCTGCTCAACTTCTTACGTGGTATTTATTATCCACTCTCATTTAGTGTTAGATATTTTCGTTCATTGCTAAAACTTGTTCTATCCATCCAGCACCTGATACCATGTTTCAGTGACAATTGTTTCAGTATGACCGCACACTGCTAAGCGCCTCTTGGTTCGCTCTTCCCTTCTTTCTGGCTTCGGGTTTAATCGATCTCGGTTACATTATCGTCGTTCACGGTCCGTACCCTTACGAGGTCGGCTTATGACTGGTAGGACGCATGCCCTCCTTACAAAGGCTTCTTTGAACTTGCCCTGTCTGATCTTTTATATGACACCACCTCTACCCCCTGGGTAGCGGCTGTATTCTCGTTTCTCTGCCGGCCGCAGTATTGCCCCCATGGCACGTTGCGGCACCATGGCCGGGCAAGGCGGCACACGCATCGGGGGCCGTTACTGTCTTCCGGCGCTAGGGCATTGCTGTAGCCCGACGCACTCTACTGGCTTCCCTAGGGCCACAAGTCCGACCTATTCCTCTCCTCTTGTTTTGAGCTGAACCTACGGGTGGGTACTGTGGCGGAACAGGATATAACGACGTTGACAGGCGCTCATGTAGCTAGCGCATTCCAGCTCGCATCGAGCCTCTGTAACACCGTCTACGCACACTTGAGAGGATACACCAGTCCCTCCGCACGGTGGACGTATGGACACACACGACATGTGTAATGACCGCTTGGACCCTAGAGGTGAAAGGGCTTGACACGATGGGTTTTGGCTATTACACCACATGTGTAGTCTTGATGACACAACCACACTACGACACGTCCAAAGGTCCCTATGACCTACTTACTTTCGATCCCGTCCCCCACCCGTGAGCCGCACGAGTCTTCTCTAGTGTGAACTGGATTTCCGGACCACAGCCCTGCTTGGCGACTGGTGACGAAATTGATCCTCTCACCCTTGACCCGTTCCCCCCATTCGCGTCATCACCGTTTCTCAGGCAACAGATCCCGGCTGAGTCGGTGCTGATGTTGTGAACGACCGAAGAGGTTCGACGATTCCCCTGCCGTGACCGGTTCGTCCAGCAGATGGGTGGTGGGGCGGGCGCGCGGGTTCCACGACCAGATTGCACAACGGGCCCTAGCTCCGCTCGAGTCAGACCCTGGCCGCCGTACCGGCGCAGCCATGTCTCGCTCCGGCGAAGTATCTCGCATGCTCTCTCTCGGGACTAGCAGTGTGTGCACACTGTCGCGCTTACGAGGTCCTTGTCGCCCGTCTTGACAGTCATTGCAAGACTCACGGAACGACTAATTCGGTAATGCTGTAACGAGAAAATAATATGAAATTTGTGAAGTTGAGCTTAATTGTGAAAGAAGGGCGGTGACAGGAGAGATGACAAGGTTGAGTGACTCGTATTTAGTCTGCAAAAATTTAAAAGTAACTATTAAGGGTTTGGTGTGAAGTGATTTTTAAATCCTATATAATATTACTAGTTAAATTTGAGAAAATCCTAATCAACCCCTAAAAATAACTACAAACCCCTATAAAATTTCGTTTGCCCCAAAATATAAAAAAAAATGAGGGGGAAAATAAAATTTGCCAAACCCCATGGAACCGGTCCTAGGACCGGTCCTGGGCCCATTGGGACCAGTCAGTCCGGACGCCTAGGCATGTCGGTCTGATTTTTCTCACGGGCCTGGGACCGGTCCCAGGCCCATGAGAGACTGGTCCCATTTGGGACCAGTCCCAAGGGACCAGTCCCAAACGGGCCCAGGCCTGGGCCCGCAAGGGACCGGTCCCTTGCCCAGGTATAGAATTAGTCAAACATTATTCATACCATTTACATTGTTGAGGAACCGTTTCTACCTTTCCTCCTGCAAAACAAAACATGGTGATTTAACTAAACATAATTTAAGAAGACAGAAATCATTTTCAAAGGCTAAAACATAATTTCAAAGATATTTTCTTTAATTTAATTTAATTCATATTCACAATTAATCATTTAATTTAATTCTTTTAGAACAAAGTAATGAGCACAAACACCTAATTTTTTTGTTCATAATAGTATAAGTATTTGAAAAAAAAAAAAAAATACTATTGATTAGCTGCCTCTTCTTCTATATCTTCTTCTTCTTCTTCTTCTTCTTCTTCTTCATCATCATCATCATCATCATCATCATCATCATCATCATCTCCGTCGTCTTGTGATTCAGAAAAAATAATAAGCACAAACAATTAATTTTTTTAAAACAAAAAGAGACATTTACCAAACATTTTCCTTTTTTCTTTTAATTGAAAAATCAACTCAAACATGATTCATACCATCTACATTGTTGACTAACTGTTTCCTTCTTTCCTCCTACAAAACAAATCAGATTTTTAGGTAATTTATATATCTGACCAACTAAACATGATTTAACTTATTAAGTATTTGTGCAACTAAACATAATATAAGAAGACATTGTGATACAAAATCATTTTCAAACATTAAAACACAATTTCAAGTTTTGAATGGCAATTCAGATTTACATACTCTAAAAACATATTTTTCTTTAATTTAACTTATATTCAGAATTAATCAAAAAAAAATGTTTTAACTTATTAAGTATTTCTGCAACTAAACATAATTTAAGAAGACATTATGTATTTTGTATTATGATGTGCAAATTTTCTGATCAATGCTCTGTTTCCAAATTATGCATCAATCATCTACTAATAAAAGAAAAAATATATATATATATATATATATTGCATTTAAAGTTTCATTTTTTTCAAATGGTAAAAATATTTTCAATTGTTAACTATGAACAATTAATCAATTCACATACCTCTTCTAGGCACAATTGTTGCACTGTGGAGTTAAGGTCACCCATCCATCGTTCTTCTTCACCATAACCATCAATCAAAACTTTGTTAAGTTTTGGTGTCAGTTGTTCTCCATAACCAAAGATCTTCATATTTGGACATCTATATATCCTGAGTGTCTCCAAAACTGGGAATTCAATAGAATATGGGTCTGAGCTAAAACAAGCAATGTTATCTAGCCATCTAATCAACAAGGAGGACAAACTAGGAAACACAATCCTCTGTACTGCTGATGCTTCCTCATTTGTGATTATTTCATGTAGTGTTGAGCAACTAGCTATTTCAAGTTGTCTAAGGTTCACCAGGCTTTTGACTATGGATGGGGTGAAGAGGTTTTTCAATTTAGAGCAGTCCGTTATTCCTATAGAAGTCAAGTTTCCCAAACTTAGGGAGGTTGTGGTGTGATCTTTCCTCCATGGTACTATACCCCTTTCCTCATATTCCTCTTCTTCTTTCATCCCAAAGATGAAGATCTCCTCTAAATTCTCGCAATAAATTATCTCTATTTCTTCCAAACTAATAAGACTTCGCAATAACACTGGAGAAAATAGTTTAATTAACTTTGGACATCTTTGCACACTTATTCTATTCAAGTTGCAGAGGTCTATGTATTGAGTGTCACCCTTCCATATATGTGTCATCTCTGGTAGATGATACAAATCTAGATCCTTTAATGACGAGAGCAACTTTGTTTCTCCATTTGCAACCTTAAGCTCTTCACAATCGAATATATATACCACTGCTTCACAATTATGTACTTTAAAAGATTCTGGATTTTGAAACCTTTGTAACAGATGACTTGGAACAATGTTTAACAACTTGTTGCACTGATGCACAACTAAAATTTTGAGCTTTTCAAAGGACTAGATTGGGGGTTCACCATGGCATATTTCAACCAAGTTGGGATGGTCTCGGATTTCTAGTTCCTCTAAGTTTTGGAATGTTAACTTTGATTCCCTTTCCAACATATTTAGGAGATATGTTACGTCCTGATGAGTCACAGTTAGACTTTTCAACTCATTGAGACCTGTATCTACAAGGTCAAGAAAGATGTTTTGTAAACCACAGATAAATAGACACTCTGTTTTTCTAGTTACCAAATGATTAAGGCAATTAACCAATCGTAAAATCGTAACCTCATTAGCTGAGATCATAATTTTTCTTGAATAATATCTTTTAGTCCGCAAAAAGTCCTCCATATTGTTTTCAGCACCTATTATTATTGTAAAGCTTGATAACTTTTTGAAAGGCATGTCATTGTCAGGCAAAAGATCCTGGTTTGGGATAAAAATTTTCAAGCTAGTTAATCTAGACAAGTATTGTAACTCGGTAAGGGTGGCACTTCTTGTCCAATGCCACTGATCTTCAAAAGCCGCAGACCTAGGATGTCTCAAATTATATAGCTCCTCTAACTTACAAAGAGCAGATATAACGCCATCTGCTATTTGCGTTAGCTCTATATAGTTGTTCAAATCTAATAGGCGTAGATGAATTAATTGGCTAAAAGAGATGGGAATCTCCGAAATCTTAGAACCACAAAGGCTAAGAATTTCTAGGTTTCTTAGATGCCCAATTATAGATAACTCATCCAAATAACAATCATTAAGATACTGTGTTCTAAGATTTACAAGCAAAGAAAGTGAGCTGGGTAGTGGTGATCGAATTAGAGTTCCACTCAAGTCTAGAACTCTAAGATCTTTCATGCCTTGAAAGAAATTGTTAGGGAGAACCAATTTGAGATTCTTTTGCAATAGTAAAGACTGCAACTTTGGGCATTCAATCCCATTAGGTACAACTTTAATATTATTTGACATCAATGAGATACATGTGAGACTTTCAAATGTATCTCTTTCTGGCCACTGTTCCAAACCAATGCCAGCTTTCACCAAGAATATTTGGTTGAACTTAGGTGCTATTATATGTGCAACATCACCTACAACATCATGCATTTTAATATACTCCTTATCATCATAGTCATCTTTTTCATGAATCAAGAGAAAAGAAAAGATAAGGGAACTTACAATAGCATGTCCTCTGTGTCTAACATGGTCCATTGTGTCAACATTTTTTAACCACCTCAAACCAGCTCCATATCTCACTAAAACTTCAATTGAAATTCTGAAATCCTCTGGAAATGAGCTACAGAAGAAGAATAATGATTTCGCATCCTCATTCTCTAGATATTTGATGCTCAACTCCAAAGATGAAATCACACTTCCTTGCAACCCTGGGATGTCTGTTGGGGTAGACGTTTTGAGTTGTCGTGCCACGTCGATCCACACATGCTTGTCTTTGTTCTTCAACGCTCTTGCTATGGTAACAATTGCAATCGGCAGGCCATCACATTCAGCTGCTACCTCTCTTGCTATTGGGCTTATAATAGAATTTTCAACATCCATCCCAACAAGCTCCTTGAATAGCGCCCAAGACTCCTGTTTTGACAAAGTTCCAACAATAGATGTCTTGTCACAGTCCATTTGATCGCACACGTTTTTGCTTCGAGAGGTAAGCACAATCTTACAACCTCCATGGTCCTTCCCGAAAGGAATACCGATCTCCTCCAATTGAATTCTTTCCCACAGGTCGTCCAATATTATGAGGATTCGTTTCTCCTTCTCAATTCTCTCCCACAGCAAACTTGCTCTTGCTGATTTAGGAGAGTTTGACAATGATGTCAGACCTAACCTGTAAGCAATTTCTTTTTGAATATTCACGATACTTGGGGTCTGGGACACAACCACCATAACAACTAAATCATACATTTTTTCTTCTTTGGCATGTTTGGCAATTTTTTTCACCAGTGTGGTTTTACCCACACTCCCCATCCCACATATTCCCACTATGCTGACCTTGTCATCTTTTAGGGCCTCCATAATTTCATTCTTGATTGATTCTCTAGATTCAAAAATTCCAGAAAATCCCACAGCAGGAAAGATAATGCCCTGAGGAGGAGGAGCAGGCTGAGACACAGTTTGGAATTTTCCATCATCTTGAAGCTGAATGATCACCACTACCTTCTGCTTTGCAGCCTTGCTGAACCGATAACGTGATCTGAGATCAATGCACCACCCTTTAAAGCACCTCTTGTTCGCATTGACTTCATCTTCCAGAAATTTTTCAGCTTGTACAGAGACATTATCAACTTCCGATATCCAGTTTTTGACATCAGGTAAGATAATTTCTCTGTTTCTTTCAGCAGCATCAATCCTCACTTGTATGGTGCCTCTAGTAGCCTCGAGTTTCTGAGCTTGCTTCCTTAATGCTTCAATGTTGTCACTGGAGTTAAGTAGGTAACCAATCTGACGGCCACCTGCATCGAACAGGCGGCTAGAAATGTTCTCGGCAATTGAACCGACAATTGAAGAAACAATTTCCATGTTGTTGATTTTGTGTATTTTTGATTGTAGAGAGATTGGGGATGAATAATGATGGATAAAATGTAGGAAAGAGAAGTGAATGGTATGTAATTCATTTCTTAGAATACATCCATCCTTTGCCTCTGCTCTCAAGGCTTCTTGATTCCATCCTTAAAAAGTTAATTCTTTTTTTCCATAACTACTATGAGTTAAGAATTTCTTTAAGCATGAAAATGGCTGAACTCCATTTACATTACTTCAGTTCTTAATCCCAGCAACCCGTCTGCATTCACTTCAGTTGTGTTCCCGCAACACACTTCATTCACTTCAGGTTTTTTCCCTCAAACATGTTTGCATTCACTTCAGTTATTGTTCCCTGCAACCCAGTAGCCCCTGCTTGCTATCATCCCCTTTATTCTGTTCACTAGGATCACACCATCAAATTTCTCAACACCCTCGTGCGGTCACACCAGCTTCACCTAGATCTGTTTCTCACCTTTCCGATTCCTTTTTCTAGATATTACTTCAGTTTCTACGTCCTGCCCTACTTAGATTTCACTTCAGTTCTTTCCCTCACCCCCTTCTGCATTCACTTCAGTTTTTTGTTCCCTGCAATCCATCAGTTTCTGTTCCCTGCAATCCTTTGTGTTCATATCAGCTATTATTCTGTTCCCTCGGAGTGCCAATCTTATTAGCTACAAAACACCTCCAATGCTTCCTTTTCTCAGATCCACCTCTCATATTTCTTAAGCCCTGCAAACCAGTCATGTTCACTTCAGTATTTTCTGAAAAAACACAAACAATGAAAGAGATGGAAGAATATCAATCTACGCACAACAGATAAGAAAGAAAATGATAGATCAAAATATAGACAACCAGGATTTGGTCAATTTTCCACTAACCTAACCTCAACAACTTGATCACCTCACTTTCTTACAGAAATTAATTCCTCCCTAAGGATGTGAAATAGACAATAGAACACCCAACAAAACTGTTCTCTCTCCTCCGTCATCCTGATTAAGATATTATACCCATTAGCAATTTTTATTGAAAGTCATGTGACGTGCAACAACGTCATATGGACACGCCAGTCAACTCCCATAGAGCATGTCCATTAAAGGAACAAAGAATAAATTTGTTCGTAAAAGATGCCCGAATGCTTTCATTTGATTTAACTTTGGGATTTGACAAAGAAAGTTAAAAAAAAAAAAAAATTATATCCTGGGAGAATGCTATTTTTTACTCCCATGAGTATTACAGCACTTTTCTAGTATATCAAAATCTTGACAATTATCTCACTGGAACATGAAAAGAACCTAGTCAATTTGAAGGGTTCACATCATGGAGCAAAACAATACCTCTTAAGAGCATCCTGATTCTATAACATCTCATCCTCTTCAATTTCATCATCGTGCCACTTAGTCATCCTGCAAAATCATTCATTTATTCTCTCCAATTCCCACTCAACTATTACATCATACAATCATAACTTGTAAATTTTAACACTACACAGCAGGCTACTAGCAAAGCTTTCATCACATACATTACACAAGACGATTGACAATGTTAAAGTTTAAACACGCGTAAATGTACCTTCATTTAGATTATCAGATTTTATTTCTTATCGCATAGTATACTTCATTACAGTCCAACACAACCACAAAAATGAAACAATTCATTCGGTAACGCTACCACTGTATCCTAATCTGAACATAAAGTGCTAACGCACCAATTTCTTATCTTAAATAAAAAATAAAAAATAAAAATATTTGAAAAATCATGTCCTTGCATACGTTCTCCGGTAACTTTACCATCTAGCAATGTAGGGAAGCCACCGTCCCAAACTTTCTCTTCCAGTACAGTACTTATCTTTTAAAAAATAATTTTTCCAGCCTCGGATTCCGGTAACACTACCGTACAGCGTCGTAGTTCGCATTACCAAAACATAACAACGAAGAAGAAATATATCAAACTTACCTTTTCCTCTTGTTGCTCGAGAGGCCGGTCGAGAAAAGCGACAGGACAGCATCTTCTTTGTTCGAGGTTTCTTCCATTGCCTCCGCTGCGCGCTGCGTTCTACAGAATTTCTTCTTCAGTTCTTTCGGGAAATAAATATCAAGCGCCTCGATTGCCGCTTGCAGATGAGAAACAGTGAGCTTTTGTAAGGGGCTTGTTGGGAAATTTAAAGACCCCCGGGTCTTACCATTCTCTTATTGGCCCTTTAGGTTTCAAAGATATATCTAGTTGCGCCATAAATTGTCTTTAATATTAATTTACCCCCATGATTTCTAAACTAAAATATGTATTTAATATACCAGTATAGACCTTAATTTAAAATTTTATTTTAAAACAAAGTTATTTTAACATAGCGATTCTAGCAAAATAATAAGCACACAAACAAATGTTAAGAAGAATGTTTTAGTTAAATCTGGTTGAGATTAATCAATGTACTATAAGTATTTATAGTACTATAAAAAATGCTTAAAAAATGTAATAAAATTGATCCAATCAGGGGTCATTTTCCATTCATCATTTTCTTTTCTAGTAATGGTCGCCCCTGAACTAGCCATATTCAAATAATTGTGTAGAGCTCCTATGCTACCACCTTGCCAGACTGAATTCCCCACCTGTTTATGATATTGATGAGACATACTAATAAATTTACACAATAAAGTATAACTGGTAAAATCCCATTTGGATTTGATCACTTTGTTCAACCATTCGATACTCTGTTTTCCCATAAATCTTCCATTACAATTTCTGACATGAATCTAAGCAAACTATATATGTTGTGATTATGGCGAGGATCATAATAAATGACATTAATCAAACAGTTGAAGAAAAAAGTATTTTACATCCAAATATTGTTCAAATAAATAGTATAATTATTCACACATCAAACTACTTTATTTATCTACAATGGAATTGAGTATTATATAAAACTCCCAAAGCTCTTGCATAGCTTAGAAATGAAGAAATTAAACATCGTCTCCTTTTGCGCTTTACTCGTTATACTTTCTCAATGTTAGCATTCCTCTACAAACAATATTATAATAAATAAAATTAACTTTTTTAAGGTTATTTTCATTTTAATCATACAAAATTTTGATGAATATTGCAGTTGGTAAATATGATTCATACCAGTAGTATTGCAGAATCAAGTCTAAGTTGAAGTATTTTCAGGTATCCTTCTGCTTCTCTGCGCCTTGCTTCTTATTCTTTTCCTTCCTGCATCCAATTATGGTAATTTGATTTCTTTATATTAAGCCTTTAAAACATTTCTCCTCAAGGATTTTTGGTTATTGAAAGCATTCATTCTTATATATGAATACTTTTTTATTCTAATACCTTTAGTTTTGAGAGCATAAAATATTGACTAAGACACTCAACAACCCATCCTCAATAATATCTGTTTATAGTCCCATAAATTATGCATTAATATTTAAAGCATCAAATAAGACATTAATTTTAATTTAAACCATCATTAATTACCTACCTCTTGTTCTTCTTCTTCTCGTTGTCATCAGCTCGCTTCTTCTTTCTTCTTCTTCTTCTTCTTCTTTCTTCTTCTTCTCATCATCATCAGTTGTGTCTTCTTGTGATTCAAACAAAATAATAGCACAATAATTAATTATATTTGAAAGCGAAACTTGTTTCTCTTTTTTGTTTCAATGTAAAACTGTAACTTGGTTATTGAAACTCAACTCAAATTACTAGGAAATTTTATATAATGATATATTCTACTTAAAAAATCATTTTAGTTAGAGAAGTTATTGAATTAGTCAAACATGATCATACCATTTACATTGTTGACTAACTGTTGCCTCTTCTTTCCTTCTGCAAACAATCTTTTCAATAATATATGTATCTGAGCAACTAAGATATCAACTTATTAAATATTTGTGCAACTAAACATAATTTAAGAAGATACTATGTGTTATGATACCAAATCATTTTCAAGCATTAAAACACAATTTCAAGTTTTCAATGGCAATTCAGATTTATTTTCTGTCAATGCTCTGTTTTCCCCGAAATTCCAAATTTGGAAGCATCTATGCATATGAAAACAGGGCTTCATCATCATCATCAACATAAAAATTTACTAAGACAACCCAACATAAATAATGACAAGACATAATGTTATTTATACCATCCAATTACCTACCTCCTCCTCTCTCTTCTTCTTCTTCTTCTTCTTCATCGCGTCGTCGTCGTCGTCGTCATCGTCATCGTCGTCATCGTCATCATCATCATCATCGTTGTCGCATCGTCATTGTGATTCAAACAAAATAATAAGCACAAACAATCAATTTTTTTTTTTTAAACAAAAAGAGATATTTACCTAATATTATCCTTTTTTTTATCATTGTAAGTTCTTTTTTATTAATCAATTGATTCATACCTTTAGATTGTTGACTAATCTGCCTCTTTTGCCTTCTTTCCTCCTGCAAAACAAATTAGATTTTTAGATAAATTTATGTATTTGACCAACTTTACAAATTTTTCAAAGATTAAACACACATTTGAAGTTTTGAATGGCAATTCAGATTCACATAGCTAAAAACATTTTTCTGATCAATGCTCTTTTTCAAAATTATGCATCAACATTCGGTGCTAAAAATAAAAAAATAATATTTTGCATTTAAAGTTTCATTTTTTTCAATAGTGAAAATATTTTTCATTGTTAACTATGAACAATCAATTCACATACCCTTTTTATGAACATTTGTTGCACATGTGGAGTTAGGTCACCCTCCATCGTTCTTCATAATATATCACGACTTTGCTGAGCTTTGGTGTCATTGGTTCTCCATAACTAAATCTTCTATTTCGACATTAAATCTGAAGATACTCCAAAGCTGGGAATTCAATAAATATGAACCTGAGCTAAAACAAAAATGTTATGTACCTTTCAGGTACAAGGAGCAAACTAGGAAACACAATCCTCTGTGCTATCTGACTGTTGCTTCCCATTTGTGATATTTCATGTAGTGTTGAGCATCCAACTATTTTAAGCCTTCTAAGCTTCACCAGGCTTTTGACTATGAACGGGTGAAGAGGTTTTCAATTTAGAGCAACCCTATTTCTATATCATCAAGTTTCCCAAACTTGGAGGTTGTGGTGTGATCTATCCTCCGTGTACTATACTCTTTTCCCATATTCCTCTTCTTCTTTCATCTCGAAGATGAAGAGCTCCTCTAAATTGCCGCGACTTTATCTCTATTTTTTCCACAAACAGATTGCGCAATAAGCTGTGAAAAAAGTTTATTAAGTTTGGAATCCCACAAACTTTGTCTTCAAGTTGCAGAGGTTTATGAATAGTGTCACCCTTCCATAAATGCGTCATCTTTGGTAGATCTTGCAAATCTTAATCTTAATGACGAGAGCAGCATTTTTTTTCTCCATTTGCAACCTTAAGCTCTTCACAATCGAATATATATACCACTGATTCACATTCATATACATCAAAGCTACTAATTTTGAAACCTTGTAACAATGACTTGAACAATGTTTGGCAAGCTGCACATTACGAACATCAAAATTTCGCTTATGAAGATTGGATTGGGGTTCACCATCACATTTCAACCAATTGGGATGGTTCCAAATTACTATTCCCTAAGTTTTGGAATTAAGTTTGATCCCTTCCAATGTATTTAGGAGATATTTTATTTTCTGATCCTCTATTTAAACTTTTCAACTCACTGAGCCCTCTTCTACAAGATCAAAAAGATGTTTTAACCACAGATATATAGAACTCTGTTTTTTCCAATTATCAAATTCTTAAGGAATCACCAATCGTGAAATCATACCTCATTAGCGAGATCATAATTTTTCCTCGAATACCTTCTAAATTGTCTACCAACTCCACGCTGATAAAAATTTAGATGTTGACCTTGTCATCTTTTAAGGCCTCCATAATTTCATTCTTGATTGATTCTCTAGATTCGAAAATTCCAGAAAATCCCACAGCCGGAGATATAATGCTAGGAGGAGGAGGAGCAGACTGAGAAAGAGTATGGAAATTGCCACCTTCTTGGAGCTCAGAGATGGCTAATATCTTTTGCTTTGCCACCTTGCTAAACCAGTAGCGCGATCTGAGATCGATGCACCACCCTTTGAAGCACCTCTTGTTTCCATTGACTTCATCTTCCAAAAACTTTTCAACATCTGTAGAGAATTATCAACTTCTAATATCCAGTATTTGACATCAGGTAAGATAATTTCTCTATTTCTTTCAGCAACATCAATCCTCACTTGTATGGTGCCTCTGGTAGCCTTGAGTTTCTGAGCTTGCTTCCTTAATGCTTCAATGTTGTCATTGTAGTTAACCAGGTAACCAATCTAACGGCCACCTGCATCGAACATGCGGCTGGAAATGTTCTCTACAATTGATCCGACAATTGAAGAAACAATTTCCATGTTGATTTTGTGTGTTTGTGATTGTAGACAGATTAAGGATGAATAATGATGGATAGAATGTAGGAAAGAGAAGTGAATAGTATGTAATTCATCTCTTAGAATACTTCCATGCTTTGCCCCTGCTCTCAAGGCTTCTTGATTCCATCATTAAAAAAGTTGTTCTTTTCTTTCTTGACTACTATGAGTTAAGAATTTCTTCAAGCATGAAAATGGGAATAAAGTTATTCTTAATGTGTATGATAAGAGAAAGAAATTGCCAACAAGAAGAAAGAATTTGCTGTATAATAAAAGAGAAGAGTTACAGGATAAAGCAATTCAAGTAGAAAAGAGAAAGCAGTTGAAGTAGAAAAAGTGAATAGACTTTGAAATGATTATCCATTCCATAATTTGCCTTACTTCTCAAGGCTTCTTTGGTTTCATTTCTCTTTTCTTTCATAGTTCTTCTCTAAAGTCTGAAGTATAATTGTTCCATATCTTGTCTCTGAAACAATAACTTGATATGATTAATTATTTTACAATCACTTATTAAACATTTTTTTATGTTGTAGCTTGAGAATAAAATAATTAAAATTTCTGCTACCAAACATACACTTAAACTCTTAAAAATAACCCCTCTTCATCAAATTCTAATTGGACCTTTTGCTAAGTATCCCTGGTTATACCATTCGTAATTTTGGGATAAAGAAGATCATAATATTACTATTTATCGTAAGGGAAGAGATCATAAAACCATGATGCAAAGTAAAGAATTATTAATATCGTTTCATGTTACAAAAGTGACGTTGCATTTTCAATAAGAACATTATTTTGATAAAATTTCATAAACTTCAGTGAAATTCCCGTAATACGGATATAAATATCTGAATAGAAAACAGACGAAAGCAGGGGCCTGGTTTTGCAGACTGATTTTTTGCTCTAATTCCAACAACTAAAAAAAAATGGTTGTGTACTTGTACCAACAGCCTTTGCTCTCAACCCAGGCTTAATATTTTTCTCACTAGTGTAGAGATTCTAACGGAATGAGGGTAGGGTCGCATTTCCAATACTGTAGGGAACTTTCATGAAATCATGAAACCTATGAAGGTTTACTAAAAAAACCTCGTATAAATGAATAATTTGAAGACCTGAAAACAAGCTCATGAAAACTTATACAAATCATAACTTTCTCTTCTCAATCTCAATTAAAGTTATAAAGAGCGCAAACCTCAACATTGAACAAGAAAAATAAAAGTATTCCTGAAATCCAGTTAAAAAAGGCTCAAAATTGGGACTCTTAAGTTACAATAAAATTACAAAGAACAAATGATGTCGTCAAAGAGTTCAAAATTTGGCTCCTAAAACAAAAATGTCCAAGAGTACCTGAATTCAGTTATGTTGAAAAATGATCATCTCCTTCTCTCCTCATTTTTGCAGCCTTCACACCAGCAATAACTCTGTTTACTAACAATACGGCAATCCAGTTTTTCAACAATGTTAACTAGGACACGCCCTCACTTCTTTTTCTTTCTTTCCTGCATGATGATCATGACCTTCACTCTGCTCCTGAAGTGTATGGTTCTCAGTTTGTATCTGGGATACAGTCACTTTTGGTCTCCTTTACTCATTTCTTCTTGCTGCTTTTGATTCATCTGCACCTGCATGTTGTTCACCATTACTATCACTCTGTTGCATGGGGACATAACTCTCCACTTTATCAAAAATGTTAGTCGAGGCAGAATCAATTCATTTGTACATCCTTCAGTTATTGTTCCCTGCAACCCAGTAGAACCTGCTTGGTTACCATCCCCTTTATTCTGTTCACTAGGAGCACTCCTCCCAAATTTCTCAACAACCTGTTTGGAGTCATCACCACCTTCACCTAGTTTCTTTTTCTTAGGTTTCAGTTTCCTTTTACTAGATACTACTTCAGTTTTTATGTCCTGAACTCCATTTACATTTACTTCAGTTCTTAATCCCAGCAACCCGTCTGCATTCACTTCAGTTTGTGTTCCCTGCAACACACTTGCATTCACTTCAGGTTTTGTTCCCTCAAACATGTTTGCATTCACTTCAGTTATTGTTCCCTGCAACCCAGTAGCACCTGCTTTGCTATCATCCCCTTTATTCTGTTCACTAGGATCACTACCATCAAATTTCTCAACACCCTCGTGCGGGTCAGCACCAGCTTCACCTAGATTCTGTTTCTCACCTTTCCGATTCCTTTTTCTAGATATTACTTCAGTTTCTACGTCCTGCACTACATTAGATTTCACTTCAGTTCTTATTCCCTCACCCCCATCTGCATTCACTTCAGTTTTTGTTCCCTGCAATCCATCAGTTTCTGTTCCCTGCAATCCATTTGTGTTCATATCAGCTATTATTCTGTTCCCTCGGAGTGCCAATCTTATTAGCTACAAAACAACCTCCAATTAGCTTACTTTTCTCAGATCCACCTCTCATATTTCTTAAGCCCTGCAAACCATTCATGTTCACTTCAGTATTTTCTGACAAGAAAATCACAAAACAATGAGAAGAGATGGAAGAATATCAATCTACGCCAACAGATAAGAAAGAATAATGATGATCAAAATTAGACACCGGAATTTTGGGTCAATTTTCCCGATAACTTCACCCTCAAGCAACTTTGTATCACCTTCACTTTCTTACAGAAAGAATTAATTCCCTCCCCTAAAGGATGTGAAATATGAACAAACAGAACATCCCGACCAAAACTGTTTCTCCTCCTCTCGTCATCCTGATTAAAGATATTATACACCATTAGCAATTTTTAAATTGAAAAGTTACCTGTGACGTGCAACAACGTCATATGGACACGCCAGTGTCAAACTCCCAATAGAGCATGTCCATTAAAGGAACAAAGAATAAATTTGTTCATAAAAGAATGCCTCGAATGCTTTCATTTGATTTAACTTTGGGATTTGACAAAGAAAGTTAAAAAAAAAAAAAAAAAAATTATTAGCCTGGGAGAATGCTATGTTTTAACTCCCATGAGTATTACAGCACTTTTCTAGTATATCAAAATCTTGACAATTATCTCACGGTTAACAGTGAAAAGAACCTAGTCAATTTGAAGGGGTTCACAATCATTGATCAAAACAATACCTCTTAAGAGCATCTTGATTCCATAACAGCTCATCCTCTTCAATTTCATCATCGTGCAACTTAGTCATCCTGCAAAATCATTCATTGTAGTCTCTCCAATTCCCACTCAACTATTACATCAATACAATCATAACTTGTGAATTTTAACACTACACAGCAGGCATACTAGCACAGCTTTCATCACATACATTATACAAGACAAGATTGACAATGTTAAATGTTTTAACTACGCGTAAATGTACCTTCATTTAGATTATCAGATTTTATTTCTTATCACATAGTAATACTTTCATTACAAGTCCAACAACTACCACAAAAATGAAACAATTCATTCGGTAACGCTACCACTGTATCCTAACTCTGAACATAAAGAATGCTAACTGCACCAATTTCTTATCTTAAATAAAAAATAAAAAAAATAAAAATATTTGAAAAATCATGGTCCTTGCATTACGTTCTCCCGGTAACTTTACCATCTAGTAATGTAGGGAAGCCACCGTCCCAAACTTTCTCATTCCAGTACAGTAACTTATCTTTTAAAAAATAAATTTTCCAAGCCTCGGATTCCAGTAACACTACCGTTACAGCGCCGTAGTTTCGCATTTCCTCTTGTTGCTCGAGAGGCGCGGTCGAGAAAAGCGACAGGAGCATCTTCTTTGTTCGAGGTTTCTTCCATTGCCTCTGCTGCGGCTTCTACAGAAATTCTTCTTCAGTTCTTTCGGGAAATAAATATCAAGCGCCTCGATTGTCGCTTGCAGATGAAAATTTCTAGCTGTTCTAGTTGAATCTTCAAGGAATTACGGCGGAAATTGACAAATCGTAGATCAAATGAGGAAAAGAAAGATTGAGAAGGAGAGCGAGAGGGAGAAGAGAAGCTGTTTGATTACTGAGAAACAGTGGAGTTTTTGTAAGGGGCTTGTTGGGAAAATTTAAAGACCCCCGAGTCTTACTATTTTCTTATTGACCCTTTAGGTTTCAAAGATATATCTAGTTGCGCCATAAATTTGTCTTTAATATTAAATTTACCCCCATGATTTCTAAACTAAAATATGTATTTAATATACCAGTATAGACCTTAATTTAAAATTTTATTTTAAAACTAAATGTTATTTTAACATAGCGATTCTAGCAAAATAATAAAGCACACAAACAAATGTTAAGAAGAATGTTTTAGTTAAATCTGGTTGAGATTAATCAATGTACTATAAGTATTTATAGTACTATAAAAAATGCTTAAAAAATGTAATAAAATTGATCCAATCAGGGGTCAGTTCCATTCATCATTTTCTTTTCTAGTAATGGTCGCCCCTGAACTAGCCATATTCAAATAATTGTGTAAGAGCTCCTATGCTACCACCTTGCCAGACTGAAATTCCCCACCTGTTTATGATATTGATGAGACATATCTAATAAAATTTACACAATAAAGTATAAAGCTGGTAAAATCCCATTTGGATTTGATCTCTTTGTTCAACCATTCGATACTCTGTTTTCCCATGAATCTTCCATTACAATTTTCTGACATGAATCTAAGCAAACTATATATGTTGTGATTATGGCGAGGATCATAATAAAATGATCATTAATCAAACAGTTGAAGAAAGAAAAAGTATTTTACATCCAAATATTGTTCAAATAGTATAACTATTTACAACAATCAAAGTTACTTTATTTATCTACAATAGAATTGAGTTATTATATAAACATCCCAAAGCTCTTGCATAGCTTAGAAATGAAGAAATTAAACATCGTCTCCTTTTGCGCTTTACTCATTATACTTTCTCAATGTTAGCCTTCCTCTACAAAACAATATTATAATAAATAAAAATTAACTTTTTTTAAAGGTTATTTTCATTTTAATCATACAAAATTTTGATGAATATTGCAGTTGGTAAATATGATTCATACCAGTAGGTATTGCAGAATCAAGTCTAAGTTGAAGTATTTTCAGGTAATCCTTCTGGCTTCTCTGCACCTTGCTTCTTATTCTTTTCCATTTCCTGCATGCAATTATGGTTAATTTGATTTCTTTATATTGAAGCCATTTAAAACATTTCTCTTCTCAATGATTTTAGGTTATTGAAAGCATTCATTCTTATACATGAATAGTTTTTTATTCCAACACCGTAGTTTTGAGAACATAAAATATTTAACTCAACAACTCATCCTCAATAATATCTGTTTATAGTCCCTATAAATTATGCATTAACATTTAAACCATCAAATAAAAGAATAGAATAATGACAAGATATAAATCTTAATTTAAACCATCATTAATTACCTACCTCCTCTTCTTCTTCTTCTTCTTCGTCGTCGTCGTCGTCGTCATCTCTGTCTACTTGTGATTCAAACAAAATAAAAAGCACAAACAATTAATGTTATTTGAAAGCGAAACTTGTTTCTCTTTTTTGTTTCAATGTAAAACTGTAACTTGGTTATTGAAACATCAACTCAAATTACTATGAAATTTTATATAATGATTAATATTCTACTTAAAAAATCATTTTAGTTAGAAAAGTTATTGAATTAGTCAAACATGATTCATACCATTTACATCGTTGACTAACTGTTGCCTTCTTCTTTCCTTCTGCAAAACAAATCAGATTTTCAGATAATATATGTATCTGAGCAACTAAAGATGTTTCAACTTATTAAATATTTGTGCAACTAAACATAATTTAAGAAGATACTATGTGTTATGATACCAAATCATTTTCAAGCATTAAAACACAATTTCAAGTTTTCAATGGCAATTCAGATTTATTTTTTGATCAATGCTCTGTTTTCCCCTGAAATTTTCCAAATTTGGAAGCATCTATGCATATGAAAACTAAGGCTTCATCATCATCATCAACATAAAATATTTACTAAGACAACCCAACATAGAATAATGACGAGACAAATGTTGATTTATACCATCATCAATTACCTACCTCCTCCCCCTCTTCTTCTTCTCCTTCTTCTTCTTCATCGTCGTCGTCATCATCTTCGTCATCGTCGTCGTCGTCATCATCATCATCATCATCATCATCATCATCATCATCATCATCATCATCATCACTGTCTTCTTGTGATTCAAACAAAATAATAAGCACAAACAATCAATTTTTTTTAAACAAAAAGAGACATTTACCTAATATTTTCCTTTTTTTTATCATTATAAGTTCTTTTTTATTAATCAATTGATTCATACCATTTACATTGTTGACTAAGCGTTGCCTTCTTTGCCTTCTTTCCTCCTGCAAAACAAATTAGATTTTTAGATAAATTTATGTATTTGACCAACTTAATGCAAAATAATTTTCAAAGATTAAAACACAATTTGAAGTTTTGAATGGCAATTCAGATTCACATAGTCTAAAAACATATTTTCTGATCAATGCTCTGTTTTCAAAATTATGCATCAATCATTCAGTGGTAAAATAAAAAAAATAATATTTTGCATTTAAAGTTTCATTCTTTTTTTTCAAATAGTGAAAATATTTTCAATTGTTAACTATGAGCAATCAATTCACATACCCTTTTTATGAACATTTGTTGCACAGTGGAGTTAAGGTCACCCATCCATCGTTCTTCATAATATATCACGACTTTGTTGAGCTTTGGTGTCATTGGTTCTCCATAACTAAAGATCTTCATATTTCGACATCTATAAATCTGAAGATACTCCAAAGTTGGGAATTCAATAGAATATGAACTTGAGCTAAAACAAGAAATGTTATCTAGACTTTCAAGGTACAAGGAGGACAAACTAGGAAACACAATCCTCTGTGCTGCTGATGCTGATGCTTCCTCATTTGTGATTATTTCATGTAGTGTTGAGCATCTAACTATTTTAAGCCTTTTAAGCTTCACCAGGCTTTTGACTATGAACGGGGTGAATAGGTTTTTCAATTTAGAGCAACCCCTTATTTCTATATCAGTCAAGTTTCCCAAACTTGAGGAGGTTGTGGTGTGATCTATCCTCTGTGGTACCATACTATTTTCCTCATATTCCTCTTCTTCTTTCATCCCGAAGATGAAGAGCTCCTCTAAATTGTCGCAAGACTGTATCTCCATTTTTTCCAGACAAACAAGATTGTGCAATAAAGCTGGTGAAAAAAGTTTAATTAAGTTTCGGCATCCTTACAAACTTATTGTCTTCAAGTTGCAGAGGTTTATGAATCGAGTGTCACCCTTCCATAAATGCGTCATCTTTGGTAGATCTTGCAAATCTATAAGCTTTAATGACGAGAGCAGCATTTTT